AATAATATCAGAATTTAAACAATCAAACTTTATTGCAACAAGTAAAAGACTGAAGGCGCTTTTTAAAAAAGCCCTCCTGATATCCGCCCAAATTGCTTTATCAAGCTGCTCGTGTTTAATCTTGACGTAGCCTGTTCCAGGCTCCGAGATAGTCGGGTCCGCTGAATTGAGAAAGCAAAACGAAAGCAAAACGGAAGGAAACTGGGGAGAGCGTGGGCGGCTCCCTTCGTTTTTCCTTTTTCCCGCCCCATCAACTTTTTTCTTTCGCGTCTACCCCACTATCTGAGAGCCTGGAACAGGCTAATTTTGACGTGGTCTAGTTTTTTGTGTATATACTGTATCTACGCCAATAAAAATGATCATGGTAAGTAAATAAAGAAATTACCACAACGAAAAAACTAATGAGATTTAGAAATCTCGCACATTGAAAGCAGATTCTGTACTGTGTTTTGTCTACTACTGTGGCACTGATCAGCGTACAGACATGTGCTATGTCCTTTGCTTAACCGATATGGCTCTTGTCTGGCCATGGGCAGTCTTTGAGAAGGCTCCCGTGGTAGACTGTTATGGAGCATGGAGGTAATAGTGTAGCTTAAGACACTGTTCAAACCGGATGCAGCCTCTTGGATGCAACAGATTGGAACACGTTGTTAGGCTAAAGTTTGGTTACCTCAGTGGATCTCACCCTTAACGCTAACCCTACTCTTTGCTCCCCCTAGCGCGTGTCCCACGCGCGTTTCTCCCACTTGGCTATATGGATGGTGTATTTGTTACTTCGGCTCTTCAGTGTAAGTTTGTCTTAAAATACGCAGGCTACTGTACAGTTACACTGATTAGGCATTCCTATTCTCTGTGGGATATAGTGTTGATGGAACTATCAGAGTATGAATAACAGTGTTGGGTGATAAAGGAAGGATTTGCGCTGCGATGCCTATCACAATGACTGGCTAATTATTCAGATCAGATCGGCCCTCGTAACATGTAAGAATCGACAACCTTGTCCCAAAGGCTTTTCCTATTTTCTAAGTCGGATAAGCCCAGGGCATGAGTTTGAATCGACAGAACCTCCTCATGCTCAGTTTTTGCCAGTTCCTTTGATCGGTTGAAAACCGTCTTTTCGGGCTTCGGTCACGTGATTACCAAATTTTCTCGGATGGGTAGGCTACTTCATTTTCTTACCCATGGTACTCCGCTGCGCGCGCTCCGCTATAAATATGACCACTGTTTTTTAGTATAAATTTCAGCGTCAGATTCAGAGAGTAATTGCTTAATTCATTACATTACTCAAGTAAATAGAGAAATTTGACTGAATTAGATCACCTTGCCCTCGACAAGAAAACGTATTTTTCTTTAAAAACAATCAGATGTTTTCTCAGAACATACCGCAGAGTGATTTATAAACAAAATCTGTATTAAACAAATCAAGCGTTAACTTAGCGGCTGTAAAAACTGAACTTGTATGTAAACTCGATTCTGTTTGATGTTTAGTTTAAATGGTTTTATTTTTCTTTCTTTTAATACTTATTGGAGTTAAATTGTAAATATATGTTAAACAGTTAAATGACAGCCATTTCATTATACTTGCTACATTTTTACTATCACTTCGCCACCTGTGATATCCAAAACTATGGTGACGTCTTGTCACGGAGCCGTCGCTCAACTGACCTTCATTTTGTTATTTTTTAAATTTATTCGCCATACGTTTTTCTGTGTTTAGAGTAAGAGCATTATTTTATTGTAAGAACTGTTTTTCCACGCTTGTCTCGGTTTCAAGGTGCTCGTCTGGGCGGGAGGATCATTGTTCCGTTTCAAAAGAGCGGGGAACACAGAAATTTCTATTTCGTTTGGAGGCGATTCTCATCCAGATAGAACGAGGTTTGCTTTGAGGTACGTATCGTATTGGAAAAATATGAAATGAATTGTGAAATGGTCAAAGTATCAATCAAGACTGATTCAATTCGTCTAACATGGTCACTGATTCTAAAAGAAACCAATCCCGCCAGCTTCCAAGTTTAATTTGTGCTCACTTCAGTGACTGCTTCTTCACTCAGTCACGTTTCATAGTTTTATTCTATTTAGTTTTTCTTGCTTTCTTTGGTTTTCTTTTTGTAGATTTCGGGACGTTTGGTCCATTTAATCACCTGCGCAATTAGTTCAGCTGTTCGGCGATTTATATAACAATCTAGAGCTCTTACTGCTGCCTGCCTTCCAGGCAGCCGTTGTCGTTATTAAGGAAAATGTTTCTCTCCCTCCCTCTCTCCTTTCCTCCCCTCTAAAGGTTGCTAGTCGCAGATGCCCGTAGATTTTTTCGCTGTGACAAATTTTTATCAATCCATCTACGTTGACTCATACGATGAATAAAGTAAAGTCTGGCATTTATACTCGGATGGTGAGTTCAGTCATTTAAAACAAATACGACTGGTTGACTGTAAAAAGATCTGATCCCAGCTTTTGTTTTCATAAAATTTCAGTAACCTTTGGCCCTTTAGCGGCTCTAAATCATCTGTGCCAAGGGTTATCAAAAAATAAACTTATGTAGTATTTACTCTTTATCATGCCAACATTTGTAAAAAAATATTTATGACTGTTGCAAAATAAGAAGATCTCCATTTCATCTCCTACTACCAAAGAAAACATTTTGATATTCAACAACTTTATCACCGCTTTTGGCGCGACTGAAATATCCTTTGAGAGGCAAACAGCTGTAACGACCAAAGCGACTGTTTTCATGACTGATCAGCACTTTGTTAAGATTTCTCTTTAATATACGGAATATATCCTCACTTAATATAAAGTTTTAATAGTCAATAGTGTGAAGTGTAAACATTTGTCGTCGAACCAAGAGCACTGTCAGCAACAGAAAGTACCAGGCTTAGAGTAAGCATATACGATAACTTTATTTTATTCCGTTTGTAACTGAGCTAAAGCCACCCGTAAGTGATTACGGATCATGAAGAAAATAGTCCCGACTATTTTAGTATTGACACTGTATTGACTGTAAGGATCAAAATATCTTTACACCTACCTTCTGTTTTTTGGCGGCAAGAATGAAAACCTAAGGATGTATATAACAATGAACAGAACTACTAAATGTTTTTGATACGGTTCAGTAGACGAGCAAAAAATTAAAGAATTCTACTCGTTTGTTAAACATTACGTCGGTCATGCTAGAATTCACTTTTAATTGGCAAACGTTCGAAACTTACATTATAAAAATAAGATGACGTCACGCCCATAATGCCCTCTGCTGATCTGCAGTGATCTCTTGACTGAAAGGCTACCACTCGCATCAGGTGCATAAAGAGAATTTAGCGGGACGAATGAAAAGTGACAAACTAAACTGACGAGAAATTATCTATCTAGTAATTTATTTTATCTCTTATAATTGTTCTGTTGTGTTCAGTTCTGTCTTTATTTTCAACCATGACCGTAACAAAATGACACAGACATCATCTTGTTATCTATTGATCGGTTACAAAAGATCGATCAAAGCTAACCAAGCCAAAAAAGAAGATACATGGATATGCTGAATGCCGGCATAAATGTTAATTTAATAATTATTTCTTAATAATTTGCTGTTTAATTTACCTCCCTTCCCCAGCGGTTTATCAGTATTATTAGGTAGATTTTTGCAACTCTCTTGTATGGCTTTGGTTTTAATTAAACAGAGTTACACATAAGACCAATTTGAAAGGAACTCAATTGTTTAACAATATTTACAAATTTCGATCATTTCAAACAATTAATGCGAAACTTGCTTCAGGCTATGTTCGCATAGTTAAAAGACGGACAAAGCATGTTTTGTTTTCGAGTAAAAATTGGTCAAATTTCTTCACGTCGACACCAACAGATCTGCACACTGGCAATTTCAACACTACATGAGTTTGATGCAGGAGCTTCAGTCCTCCTGTTTTGTACCGTTCTGGTCCATGTCTGGTCCTATGTGTATGTTTTCAATTATTTATCTTTTGCTTAGGCAAAAGAAGCTATAAACTTTTTATTGTGGGTGTGGTTCGAAAAATGTACAGTCGATTTAAGCATGAGCTCATTCTTAATTTTTTGAATAACTTGAAAAACTGAATATTCTCACTGGAACGGCCTTCCTTATTTTGCTTCAAAGCTCTTCAAGCAGGAGCCCTAACACGGAGAATAATGAGTTAGAAGAAGTTTAAAAATCCCTTCAAAGTAGTGCATTAAAGCGAAAGGGGCAGCTATAAAATAATTGATTCATAAGGGGAAATTGTGTTTGTGTTGACTACATCTAAGTCGATTTTGTGACGCGCGCATCTGCATGCGTCAAACGGCGGGAAAATGACGCGCTTCCGCACTTTGAATGTCGTGTTCAAAAATGCTCTCCCTTTTGCAACTTTTTGGAAATCACGATTTACTCAACGGGGAAAAAGTTCTCTCATCACGGATCAGAAATCAGCATTTTTTCCAAGACAAACTTCATAACAATAATTCTCCATCGTGGAAGTGTAAAACGGCTTAGCGCGGATTAGAGTGAGAGCAGGACTGTTTAATAAGATTGCACTCTCAAGTGATCGGTGTAAAAAACTCGTTTCCAAAATCAGTTCGGCATATTGCAGGGTATAACGCCGTCTTCCGTGTTGTGGGAAACTATCTGTACAAGGGGAAGAAAACGAAAAATGAAAAATCACGGTACTTTTGTTTTAAACGATACAATTTTACTTGTGGTATAATACAACAAAATCCGTCGCACAATTGCTTTGGAGCCCAAGTCGAAGCTTAAACAAAGACCTACATGAAAGCCCACTAACAATATTTACAATAGAAATAAAAGGAAAAAGAGCAAAACCTTTAGAATTTCTTTGTTTCAGCAGGATTTGCCATGGAAACCAAAATCCTTTTGTCCGGCGATGGAAGAGTTCAATTAGCAGAAGAGCTGTGATTGGTTAACCGAACAAGAGAGAAAGCGATGCGGACAATTATTTAATTAAGATCAAACTGCGTGGGCTCGTGGTTCAAATGACGTAAAATTTACTTTCTGCGAGCATAGCTGTTCCACATTAATGATTTATGAAGCGATTGATGTAAGCGTCAAGCATTGATAACAGACCTTTTGTTTAAGCGCGACACTAATTTAAATTATTCGCCCCTGTTGATTTGAAATGCTTTCACAGAAGTAGACCGGCTGTGATATTTACCCCACCAGTGTACTGGGCTCGCCCGGCCGATTTCTGGACAAGGTGAATAGTTACAAATCTAGAGTTTTTCCTCTAGATTACCACTGGTTTCAATTTTCTCCACAACAGGAAGCCAAGAGGCCCACCCCGGTGGATTTCAAGCTGTAAGCGAACAAGATGCCGAGCACAAGAAATAGAAGTCGGTTATCGGAACAGTCGACCAGTAAGTTTGAAACGAATGATTTTGTCAAAAAAACTTGCCCACCAAGGGAAAAAAAGTGCAAGCTTAAATCGAAGAAATTGCTGCTCAAGAAATTTACAGCTCAGTCTGACGAGGTGGAGGAAGGTATGTTTTGAAATTATTATCATTTACTGTCATGACACAATTAAAACAGTTTTCGCTGATTTATTCAGTGGAATCTAACAAGAATGACGAAAGCTTCACTGGCGAAAATTCGAAGCTCTTTGCGAAGTGTAACTTCCTCTAATGCCTCGAAAGTAAAAACCGCACAATCTTGTAGATAAAATCGTTAAGAGGTTCTCAATTAGCCAAGAGTACCGGTATTCCGTTAAAGCAACCGAGGTTCCTTTATCTAGTTTTTGTATATAGTTATTTTATAAGGTCTAGTCAGTCGCCGTTACGTCACTATAATTGTAAGCCAGAGCAAAACAGGCGAACACTGCCTGCTTTCTTGAACAAGAACGCTTCCATGACTATCATTAGCCCAAAGGCTGCACTCTTAATAAAAGGCTATGTGAACCGCACATAATCCCAATAATTGACCCGATAATTGATCTCGAGAGATCTACTGCTTAGTGACTGAAATTCCTTTGCACGAAAAGTTCTTACCATTGTAGAACGCATCGCTTGGTTGGGTCCATACAGTGATGTTAAGACCGTACTTACCGTCTGCGAATACTTTTGGGGTCAAATTTACAACGGAACAAGAAAGCGTAAAGATAAAAGCGGTCATTTCGTCCGTGAACTGGGGCACGAGACGAGAATTGCTTATAGAGATTGATACTGTACCGCTTCGTTCAATTGCATTTTATACCTGAGAGCCGAAGGATTATCTGTCATTGCTGAAGGGTTTTACAATAAATGACCCATCATTGTCTTGACTTAGTATTGGAACCGTTTACGGACCTACGGTTGCATTAAATGAGCGAGTACTTTTACAAAAAATTCAGTTCGTTCACGAAACCTGGAAAGATGGTCAGGTCACGACGCTTCAAGAAGAACAAGGAAAATGAAGCCTGTGAGTTGTAAGAAGGAGGAATGGTAGAGTAGATGTACTTGTTTCCGCCTTTGTTGACAGATTTCTTGTTGTGTTCCTTTGCAGACGTTGAATTGATGATTGGAGAAACTAAGTCCAGAATAGCCAACTGCAATTCAGCCGTTTCAAAAAGCAAGAAAGAGCAACTCACGGAAACACTTCGGTGGTGAGATTTTTTATATATTTTTTTTATTAGGCTTCTGGGTGCAAATTCGCGCCTACAGCGTTTCGAGGCCTTTTAAGTGCCGCTCGAAAGATTACAATTTGCACCTCAAATCCTACTAATTTGGCGAGTGATTAGGAATTAGAACCGTTTTCTGTCTGACAATGACAGTTACTTGGAGAGTGTAAAAGTGGAAGAAAGTTGGAAAAAAGCTCTTAAGATAACTCTGAATTTCCCCCAAAAAATAATAATAAAAGAAAAGAAATGCATATATTAAACGTAAACCTGGTCATTCATTCGAAAAATTACTGCAATTTTAAAAAGAGTCAGCCGGGAATTTGAAAATTAATTATGTCAGAGATCTTATGTCATCATGTCCTCGTACTTTTTTGAGCTCGTGTTTTCTGTCAACACAATGTTAAATCTCTTTCCCAAGTCCTTTTTTCCGCAAAGATACTTTAGAAAACCCGAATTAACCCATCAAAGTTTTGAGACCGCAAAAAAGTTGTAAAGAAACCGTAATGGATACCAGCATACGATATTCTTTTAGACTTCACACGTATTGGAAGCTCTCTTCTAACAGTGTCCGGAAATTCGGCGGAAGATACAATTCAGGGGAGCACAATAGAACAGCAGATAATTTAGCCGAAATAACAGCTTGAACATTAAACAAAACCACCTAGGTCTTTCATTGCATCTTTTACATTTATTGACCGTGCGTACCTGCTAATTACCTTTCTGGAAATCATATATTCACTCGAAGAGTCTATTTTGGTCTTTATAGCAAAGCTAAGCTTGGCAGCTGTCAAATTAAGTCAACTTTTGTCAGGCGTAAAATAAATGAATTTTTTTCTCTTCAAGAGAAAGTGAGAAAGGTGAAATGTAAACAGTGTTTGAAAGAGCGCGCAGTCCTTACATTGTATGACGTTCATTGATCACAACACAAAAGGCTACATCTTGCCGTATAGACTTGTTTGACGCACTTGACGGTAGTGATATCTACTAGTATCAACCTCCCAGAAAGTATGAGAATAATGAATCTAATTTTATCACCTTGAATGTTTTTGGGTTTTTATCAGTTTTTGATGTACTTCCTTTTAGTAGGAATGTTTTTAAAAATCTATTAAGAAAAATACCATTAGAGAGCTCAAATTTCATCGCCATTATTAATGGTCTGAAATGCTTCTCGTCTTTTTTTTAAAAAAAGACTTGGTCCAACACGATTTTTGGATAGTTATGTCGAAAAGAAATAGCATTTTTGCAACTGATTATCGCCTAAAGCTTTTGAAGAAGAAGTTGAAAAGCTGATGACAAGTCTAATTTGCACTCTTCTAATCTGCTGACATCTTGAATGACTAGTCAGTTAGCCCCCTAAAAGAACTGAACTTTTTCTTTGAGTTTACTAGAGAAAACGTAAACCGCCGGCTAACTTGTACGTGACGATTTTATTGCCTCGTCAAATCTCTTTGAAATTTGTCCGGAAAAGTGTCAAGATCTCAAGTTTTAAGATTTAACGCAATGCGGTAACCCTGTTAAATTTTGCGGTTTGCGAATTGTCTACATTTGAGGTCACCTTAAAAAGGGACCGGAAACCGCGATTCAACCCCTTCGCTGGGCATAAATTGGACACTTAATGTTAATTACGGTTGGGCAATTTTGCTCAACACGAAAACGTGGAAAGTGATTTCATCTTTCAATCACCTTAGAACGGTTTACCCCAATAAAAAAATACCTATGCTTTTTTCGTAATTAGCAGTTACTTTTATGTCGGGCTCTTGCTTCATGTGATTACGTTAGCATTAAAAAAAAAAGGACATGCTCGTATGGACAGTTCCATTAGGCGGTCTGAATGCTGTGCAGCGGTTTGAACCGGTTTTTTTTTTTTTTTTTTTTTTTTTTTGCAGTGTAAGGTTACAGATCACCTGCATTAATATCTTTACAATTAATTCAATATTTCAGAGAAAAAAACTCTTTACTTCAAATTAAGTGCGCTATTACCTAATCATTCCCTAAGAAATTCGAAAACACTACGGAATGTCGAGAGTTTTATGCTCAGACGCTATCTGTCATTGAACTTAGATCCAATGAAGAATTCGTCAAAAATAATTAAGCAAACAGCTGAAACTTGGCCAAAATGTGCTGTTCATCTTTAGTTTGCATATAGTAACACACCTTCGGCTTGACGCTCTTATTTTACCTGAAAATGTTGTCTAGAGGCCGTAACGGGTATGCAACGGGTTTCACAGGGGAAAATGAAAAAGTAAAAAAATGACGGTTCATGTGGGTCGCTTGGCTCCTCGGCTAGGCCCGTGATCGGAACTGAGAACATTAATCTCGCTGAATCATCCGACGGAACGTTTCACCTAGCAGCCTTCATGAATTCAAATTCTTTGTTAGTGGTCAATCTGAAGCTTTAAGAGCTTTCCAGTTCAAGAAATGTTAAGAAAAGGGGTTTTGAAATGAAAGAAACTGTGTGAGAAAGCTACAAGGTATTCACATAACCTAGTTAAGGGCGAAAGCAGGGTGAGGGTTATCTAATGAAAAGACGGTATATAAGTATGGTGTCAGACTTTCGCTTCACAGTGTAATTTTTAATTAAGTAGGTCGTTTCAAATCTTCCCCGTTTCCATAATTTTGATTAAACCCTCCCCATTGTTTGTTCATATATCTATGAAAAAATTCTTAAAGGACTGCAACCTAAATGCGCATCACCCGTTTCGATCGAATGAAATCTCGGCGAAACTTAAAAGGAAGACTACCAAATATTCTAAGAGCAAGGTATTTGACCGAGATACCCCCTTAACTTCCGTCAGAAGCTGTCTTTTTTGTCACGTCTTCAACGTTACCTCCATCAGTTTAATTGTTCTGGTACTTGCCATTTAGTTATCCTCTATCTAAATGCGTACATTTTCAGATCTCTTTACATCATTTTTTCAAGTCATTAAGAGTTGTTAACCCTCTATGTATTAATAAGCTGGTCTAATTCTCTTCAGGTTGGAAGAGAACTATGTTATGTGTGAAGGAGTTTGCCTTCCTCGGTGCATTCTTTACGCTCACTATCTGGACTTCTGCCGACGACATAACGTAGATGCCGCCTGTGCGGCTACATTTGGAAAGGTACCAGTGCCTCTTTTTCTTTACAAATTGTGGGTGGGGCTTGAAACCGAAGATTTTAGTCGGCATGATGTCCTCACGCAGGCTGGTGAACCGTCTCCTAGCTATACATACTCTCCATTGTATCAGTTTTGGGTATTCCTGAGGTCTTCAGGACTTATTAATATATGAAAAACTGAAAAACGTTTTTTTCTTAGTTTATTAAAATGGTGGGCACTTTAATTTGTTTTGTTCATCTATAAAACGTTTGCGGTTGTATTCCTTGGAGGAAATGAATGCTATTTTACGTTAGTTATATACCAGCTCTCACCAAAGAAACGAGTTTTTAAAATATGCTACAATATTATGTATGCCAATGCTGCAGTGAGTTGAAAAAGAGCAAGTCATTTGGAAACTAGTGGAAAACTGTAAATAGCAAACTAATCTTTAATAAGACGGATCTTCTAGATCTCGAAGCTTATCCGCCAGCTTCAAACTTTTGAAACGAAGTCGAGATGTTGCCAAATGTCTGGCTTCTTCTCTCAACTAACAATTTTTTTTCAAATTTTCAGCAAACAATACCGCTCTTTCCAATTTTCATAGTGATCGCACGCCTGAAGGCGATTATAACAACTCAATGTCTTTTCTTTTCCTTAATTTTTTTTTTTTTTTTTTTTTTTTTTCATTATTTGTAGACGATACGGCTAAAGTTTCCTCAACTCACAACAAGAAGGCTTGGGACGCGCGGTCACTCCAAGTAAGCTGAAATTATATTTTAAATCGCTACTGAGATCCAAAATATTTACCTAAACGAGCACTTAACTAAATATACAAAAACAACTGCGTGGGTACCCACACATTCATCAAAATTTTTCTCTTCACAGGTATCACTACTACGGTATTGGAATAAAGGAATCTTCTGCTTATTATCACTCGGTTTACTCAGGGAAAGGTTTAACAAGGTGAGGGAGATAACTTCCTTATTGCCTTCTCGCCATGAAATATTAAGTGATATTTCGATGGCATTCCGTTGCTTGTTCTGAACGGGGTAATTAAACGACCTCCATGGTAGAATAGTATTTGTTTGCTAAAGACACAAAGAAAATGTCGTTCTTTTCTTATTGAAAATCCGTAAGGGATATAAACCGGAAGAGGCGGTTGTAAAATGAAGAAGAAATGTATTCAAAGAATCTGACATGCCTAACGAAATTTTCACATTAGATTTTTCGAGATGATTTCAGTCCCAACAATTGTGTTATTATTATTAAGAGTACGAAAACTTTACACCCCTTAAATCAAGGAAACACCAAATGCAAGCCAATAATAACAATGTGTTACTAAATTTGGAGAGGTTAAAATATATCAAGATATTGTGTAAAGTTAAAGAAAGAAAACATTTGACGTTTTCCAATGTTCTGCCCGACTGTTTAAACGCCATAGAAAACTGCCATTTTTTGGTCGTAAAACAGATCTTGGTGGGATAAATAGTTATGTATCAGGTTTTCAGTATTTCTGTTTTGTATTTTAAAAAACGGGAAATTATACGACAATGAAAAAATAAACACATGGTTCAACCAGGATTTTGGGTGATGATTAAGTAAGTTGGTGCTTTATTATTCTTTATAAAGAAAATTTGAACTAATTAAATCAATTGTCTCAGGTCTTCATTCGGTATCGCAGTGCATAATTCAAATTGCTTTTTTTTCCTATACTTTACAATCAAAGGTTATTTTAACTCAGCTTCGCTAACGCCAAATATTTGTAAGTGTCCTTTTCTTAACGACTGTTTTCCTTGTTTCATCATTCGGGGTCACCTTTCAATAAACAACAGCAGTGCAGCTCACAAATACAACACAAAATCACGCGATAAGAATAAAAAAGAAAAGAATGCCTTCAGGAAATCTGTCGTTTATTTTTTGTTTTAAAAAGCGCAGGCAGAAATTGCGAATGAAAAGAAATAAACGCAACACATTCAGAAACGAAGACCTTATAGGAAGTTTTGAAAAGTGCTCTACAAATAGATTTTATTCGGATAGAGTCAACAATTCTTCGGGATTAAATCAATGAAGCGTCGTATGCTTCGGGGTAAATCGGAGAGGACTGAGCTTTTTGCTTGGAAAATTGTCATCATGTACCAATGTTTGTGTGACAATGAGTGCGGCTCGCATTTATTTTCTAGCATAGAGTGATGTTTTGTGGACCTTTATGCCTTGGCGGATGAAGGGGAGGGGCCCTAGGCCTGGACCCACTGTTAAATTATATAGATAAGCGGGCCGCCATTCCTTGAATATGTGAATCCGCCACTGTGATGATTAAGGTTGTGAAGCCACGTTTTTTTTTTTTTTGTTGTTCTGGATTTCATAAGACATTACTTGAGTTCCAACAGACGTTTTACCTTAAAGCTGTCGGCAAGTAGAGAAAGGAAAAACAAAGACAGCAAGTTTTGTCAACCTCTTTCCCAGGGTCCTCTCCACACCACGGGGGCCGAGTAGGAGAGGACCCTGGGTATGAGGTTGAAGTTTTGTGCGTGTTGAAAATTAAAAAATTAAAAAAAAAAATTCTGTCTACCTATGATAAACAATGATTACCAATGTGGAGTGTTGCGAGGCTGCAATTATTTTCAATTGCTTCCCAGTTATGGAATAAATGTTCGAAAAGTTATCAGTGGTATAAAATAATGTTTCAAGCGACTAAATACAGGCACACAGTGCCTGTGTCCGGCTGTAGTTCGAGTGCTTTTGCCCAGTCCCTTGGCCTCATTATTCCACGCCGTCAATGCGTTTCGGGTCACGTGGTCCGAGCGAGTTTTTCTCCAGGCCGTTCGTCTCAGATACGTCACCGAAATAAATTGACTGCGGAGGCCTGGGAACACGCCGCACAGGGACTAGAAAAGAATGCCTTAAGTTTTTTGTTCTTAATTTATGTTAACACCTGCTCAAGAATATGGTCCATGAGTTATAATGTAATGTCTACGTTCTTTGCTGCACCTGTCGGTTCTAAAATGGTTTAATTATATTTCAATTAATTTTATTTTACCACAGATTTTCTGGATCAAAAGTCAAGAATGAGGTAATAATGCCTGTTTTTGAGATAAGAATTCTTTTTTACATTGAAATGTATTTAAAACTATTGTATTTGTACGCCATGAGAGCCCTAAATTCCAACGCTATAAGGAGTGATTATTATCAGTTAAATGCTGTCAAAGACATTTCTTTTGACTGGTCACACCACAGCGTTTCGTCCGCATACTCAAAAGTTAGAACCACGGCACTGCATAAGATTCCATCTTTCACCCTGGGATTGAAAGGTTCAACTAAAATTCGACTCCTTCGAGTTTTGAGCCATCTACGTTTCGTAAAGAAAGCTTTAACAGGGAAACCTATGCATTGTTGTCTTCATTTAACTAGGAGTTTTCATTTTAAGCAATATTTTTAAGTTTAACCCCGTCAATATTCGTGAATGATTTGTTTAAATTGTGATGTTATTGCCCTCCTTCTTAGGGTTCTTTTTCAGTTCGCAAATATTCCCTCAGCTCCAAGACTGGCACTTTATTACCTGACTTCCCAAATCCGAGATTGCTGGAATTACCAGGAAAGATTTCGCTTGAAAAGGTGAGGAGAGAAAGTTATTTATGATCACTTCTGTCTTGTTAAAAAAAAATAGACAAAATCGAACGAATAGTCCCAAAGAAAACACATTATCTTTATTTTGATGCAAGAAGACACAATACGGCTACTATATTTAAATGAGCCAACAGAAAAAAATCAGACCAGGAAACTGTCACTTAGTCCGTTAAAGCAATTGTACGCCTCACCGTCTTTTAGGTTGCGAGTGTGCACCCTTCCTTATATAGCGAATGTTTCTTTGCATCATGTTGAAAAGGGTTAGAAAACATGGTTTCTCACCGGTTTCCTTGCTTCATAGTTTTTTTCTACTTCGTTGGCCACTTCTCCAACCTATAATCTGGAACCAGCATGAGATAATTTGCACTCCCTCGAATTGAAATTAATGATTGTTTATTATTGATCTTATTTCTAGTTAGAGACGTTTGTTGTGATGTACAAGACACACTGTCAGTGTATTTTAGACACTGCGATAAACGCCAATTTTGACGAGGTGAGCTTCAACGGCTTTTGACTATCGTTAAAAGTTAGAAGATGTCTGTTTGCTATTCTAATGTTATATTACGAGCGGAATCAATTCATACCAGTGTTGATGTGATGGGAAAATAAATAACACTCTGGGAAGGCTTTCAGCCATGTGTTTGCAAGAAGACCCCCCTCCCCCGGGGGGGGTACTCCCCTCTATAAGTCATATAGGTATGTGCCGCCCCAAAGGGTATGGTTTTTGCGGCGTTTTGGTCTGAAAACGGGTATAGACTTTTCTTAGTTTCGTCTGGAATCGGGTATGGTTTTCGAGAGAACTCTAGGAGTGTATAAACATATTTATCATGTCAGTTCCGAATGGCCAAGAAAGAAAGAAAAATATGCAAATTTGAAATGGATTTTAAGAGGCCGGGAGGCCAGGTCTGAAAATGGGTATTTATTTTAGAGGCCAGGTCTGAAAACGGGCGTGGAAAATGACATTTTTAAATTTGGTCTGAAAGAGGGTCAGAATTTGGAGAACCAGGCGGCACACCCCCACCAAGAATTCCCAGGAATACCCCCCGAGGGAGAAACACAGTCGGAATAAAACAATAATGCGATGGGTACTGTACTGTAAGCGTGGCTCGACGGATGTTGCCATTGCCAAACATTCAGATTGGAGTGAAATAGAGGAAATGTGTATGACAATTTGTATCAGTCTTACCCGAAACATTTCGCAATGGCGAATCTGCACCAATTCAAATAGAGATTTCAACCTAAATGTCCGGGTTTTCCTTGTAAATAGAAAGTACACACTGTAGATGTCTATTTTCGAGAATTAAGCTTCCTTCTTGTAGAAGTGTTCTTTGTATTGGAACTCGTTAAGTGATACCGTAAAGTTCCGACAGCAACGAAAGAAACGATGTAATGTACCTTTTGAGTTACATAAAGGAATGTCAAAGATCATTATAACCGTCAAAAAATAAATCTCGGATCAGTTTGGTAAAGCTTGTTATAACTACAATTTCCGTTATTTCTAGCAAGAAGAGAAATCAATTTTGAAGTCGCTACTTTATTCGGAGGGTCGCTACTTTTGGCATTTGCTAACACCTGTGAAATTTTATCTCCAATCTCGAAGGGTCGCTACTTTGGGAACTTTAGGGTAGTTGTTTGTATATTAATTGACATTAGCTTTAAAAGTATTGCTAATTGCTTGATTGCAACTGCTAACTTGCTTCTGTCATAATCTATTTCAGATAAAAAATTTTCTGTTACACTTCTGGCAAGGCATGCCCGATCACCTGCTACCGCTGATGAATACAGAAGTCGTAGCTGACGTTATTTGCGTCTGTGATTCCATTCTCTATAAGGTATACGTAGTCACAAATTAAACGCGACTTGCAGTTAACATCATAATGAAGGTTTACATCACTTTTGCCTTCCGTTGCCCTGCTGAGTTAAATTTGAATTTTTGTTTGTCGACTGTGGGTCTTATGTTTTAAAAGCGGTCAAATGTTACCTAATATTCGCATTAGGAGTTGCAGCATAGACCGAAGACGACTATGAGAACGAGATTTCCTCGATGCTAAGTAGTGAGCAGGCGTGAACCAGCGTCATTTTAGCGGGAAAGCGCGATATCCATCGTCATTCCACTACGGGTTTTATGAGCAAAAATGTGGTAGTGACGGAAGTATCAAATGTTATCAAATGTAAGAAGTTTTGTTATTTTGCGATGGGGAGAAGGCTTAACTTCCTTCAATAAAAACAACAGTTTCAACTTTTCTTGTGAAAAAAGAGGGAAAAAACACTTTCCGAGGTGTCTACTTTTTAGCAATACGCCAAAAAACAATCTCGTCCTCGTCTTTGAATCACAAGTTCCCAATTGTGTCTGATCGCCGTACAAGTGAATTATAAGGCTAGTGAAACCACAAAACAAGGATTGGAATCCCATGGATCATTCATTCATTCCTTATTCATCCCACTTGAATTCTTTTGTAGGTTTTAATGGATGTTCTTGTTCCCTCCACCATGCAAGACGTTCCAGAAGGGTAAGGAAATCACAAACATTATATTTATATTTCCAGCTGCAGTTTCTTTTCGCTAATGACTATGACTAACAACCAGCCGTTTTTTCCTCCACTAGACTTCTCGCTGATATCAGGACGTTTGCGAGACACCTGGAGTCCTGGGTACTGGCTGCAACAGTTGAACTGCCAGATTATCTAAAAATGGGAAAAATCCAAGGTCAGTTGTTGAACCAGCTAGGATTACATTTTCTGAAGTGCATTTATCAATGAAATGGAAACTGATTTTCCGTTTCTCTTTTTTTTATTTTTCAATTTTTGGTAGCCTGTGTACACCCGCCCCCTCCGCTCAAAAATGTCGGGGATTTTGTTTGAGGGGAAGGGTGGCTGTACACAGGCTATTATTTGGGTCATAGCAAAGAGCGTCTATTTCTTCAATTATGATTTGCGAATCTATCAGCTCAAACTTTCCGCTGCTCAAGCCGTTGACAATCTTCGTAGTAACATAGGCTGCATTTCTTTTATATTTCTCTGGCATTAGAACAGTGATTGCATACTTAACACGTTTTCTCATTAATAGAAAGTGATTTTTTGTTTCTTTCTCCATGTAAAGCTGTAAGGCGTTTTGTTCAGTCGCTGAGAAGACAAACTTCGTTCCTTCATCTTGCACAGGTATGATTTAAGATCACTCTGACAAACGAATAACCTCCTTACTACCGCAGACATTAAAGGAGACAGTGCGAAGCGTTTGCATAAAAAGGGGCTATTGGCTATAGTTAGTTAGTTAGTAGAATATTCGCACTGCATACATATTGTAAGGTCACGGGGAACTAAGTTATGAGAGGAAACAGCGACTGCCAGGACAATAGGCATGCCGAATGATGAGGGTATGCGACGTCAACCGCCACCAGGGGAGGTGAGAGGAGGGGCGAAACTTTGAAGTCACTTCCACTGAACTCCGTTGGACTAACTGGCCAAGAGGCGGGCAAAAGCCGAGCAATTCTGAGCAAGGGCTGCAATGCATCATGCCAATAGCGCGCAGGCCAACATGAAGGAATTTCAAGGAGTTTCTTATTTCCCGCGTCACGGGCCAATTATGTATGCAGTGAGAATAGTTGGTAAGTTGGCTAGTTTTCTGTCTATCTAGTTAGTTAGTTTTAGCTAAAGCAAGTCATTTGGATGGTTATCTCGCTTCCCGCAAAAAGTGCTTCACAGATTGTAAAACGACAAGTAAGCGTAAAATTCCTTAACACGTGATTTGGTTTATTCCTTTCGAACGTTGCACGGAGAACCTGAATTCGATCACAATGTCTGACCTAATTTTAACCCTTCCTTTTTTCCCAAGACATCCCGACCCGTCTTAGCCAACCAAGAGATAGTAGATCACATGGTAAAAGATATCGAGAAGCTTGATATAGGAAACAATGGAAGGCAGACTTTGCAAGCCAGGACCGAAAAGGATTGCGACGATGGATTTGACAACGAATGTGAGAATAATGTTTACTCGTTCGGTCTTCTTTATCGTCACCCTTTTGTGTTTTCATGTTATGAGGCTGTGAATGCCTCTTATTTCGCCTGGATGATGAGCTTATTTTGCTTGATATTTTGAATTTCAGTTCTTGAAGACTTTGTTGATCTGTTACGTGAGCAAGCGCCTTTGGAGTCTTATGTCGAGTGGTTGGATAGGCTTGTAGAAACCAAGATCATTCGGGTGAGTAGACTTCACGTGATGTGTACGTGATCCTTGCATTCTATTACTTTCTGGCAACTTTGCGGTAAATGCTTCATTTACGAGTTTGTCACTGTCTTTTTTCAGCCCTGTGAGGAAGCTGGTGACGATTTTAAGAGCAGAGCTCAGGAATTCCTTTTAAGATGGTCATTCTTGGGAGCGAGGCTAATGCACAACTTGACCCTCAACGCTTCATCGTACTTCGGTGAGATTAAATTAATAAGCTGTTTTAATAATTTAAACCAAAGCAGTCACATTTTCATTTAAAACAAACGCAAGAGGAAATATTCTGAAAAATAGCGGAGCCAGAAGACGCTTTCTTCGAAGAGCATTGCTTACGCAACTTTAAACTATAACAAGAGCCATTCAACACAGGGAAAATGAAGGTTGTGGCTAACATGTGACATTTTTATTTGTAAAACCTTTGGCCAAGTAATCTGTAAAGCAAGCAATTCCCCATTCTACTCTCTATATAGCAGCCCAGTATATATGTTTTTCATCCGGCAAGGTTTACAAGAATGCTGTTATTATTACCTCATTTCCAAGGCCAAGAATCAACCTTTCTTTGAACGAATCAAGAGAGGATAATAGCGTTGTTGTTGTTGATGATGATGATGATGATGATGATGATGATGATGATATAATAATAATAATAATAATAATAATAATAATAATAATAATAATTATGATAATAATAATAATAATAATAATAATCGATCGTGTATGTGGTGGAGCGCGCTCGATTTTAAATAGACCGTGACAGACTTTCTCCTGCTTCAGTTTTAGGCTTCAGTTCGGCTTCATAACCTATCCGTTTCTGTTGACCTGTAGGATCACGTTATCACTTGCTTCTTCTTCGCAGGATCTTTTCACCTTATTAGAATGCTCCTTGACGAATATATGTTACTTGTGATCGAAACAAAGTTCTACAATGAGACGGAAGAAAAGTTGCAGGAAATGCTTGATCGGCATTTAAAAATGGGTGAGTGATCTTTACTTATGCATGATGTTTAGAAGGGAAGAACTAAGGGACGGGTCCTTATTTATCGCCTGGAGGTGGGGGGGGGCGTAGGGATCACTTGATTTTTAGGAGAACAAAAGGGGGGATCAGTTGTAACTGAGAACCCAAAAGGGGGAATGGCTGAAAACTTTGGCAGGATTCGGAGGGGGGACCACTCAAATTTGCTTGGAAAATGAAGTCGGGGGGGATCGAGAAAGTCATCAGATGTTATTAGAGGGGATCACTTCAGTGAACTAACATTCAAAGAGGGGATCGGCTAAATTTCACCTTGTTTAGCTTCAAATCCTCCCCCCTCCCCCCCACCAGGCGATAAAATAATGACCGGTCTCTAAGGGGTCTACAAGCTACAAGACATGATATTCCTGGTGGATCACCCACCCATCCAGTAATTCCTAACTCCGCCCGTCACGGCTTAACTTGAGTGGTACTATTAACACCAAATTTTGCGAGGGTTTGAAGGACACGTCTTTCTAGTCATAATTTGCCAATTGTCATCCTGGCTCCTGGTTTCCCGCCATAAGATAAGCACCACATAAATCGCCTTGTATAAAGTAAGCGGCATCAAATTTTGTGGCCTAGATCATGCTTAAAATATCATTTTTTTTTAAGTACGTATGTATTGATAAGGCAAATTAAAATCATTAGTAGATGGTTAGCCGTTGTAAACAACGCTTAATGATTTTCTATTTTATTTTTCTTGCTATCAGGTGAAGGAGTTGACAAAGATAACTCCCCTCTTCGAGTGCAGACCATTGTAACCAAAACAAAGTTCACCGTGCCCGACAGCGTTCTCGCAAATGGCGGAAAACTGCCACCTAAATCAGAAATCATAGAACCCAAGCAAACTACCAAGCCAGGCCCTCGGGTCAAACGTATAAAGTCACGTGACCATGTGAATGGTATAAAACCAAGACCCAAAAGACTGTCAACTCATCGGCTAAGCGCATGCTCTGTGATGGATCATCCACCTTCGCCGGTGATGAATGGCTTCCCGCCAACACCTTTAGAATCTTCAGCCTTTATTATGCCTACGCCGAAGGAGAATTGCTTTCTTGGTCACAACGGAATGCCTCAAGCGCCTCTGCTTACACCTCCTGTGTCGCCAGCGGTGGCTTCTGGGATGCAAAGGAACACAACAATGAACAACAGCTTTTCTCAGGTAACGTACACGGCTCTTGGTGAGAAGAAGCAGCAACCGTGGGGATATTCCATGAATGGTGAGGTCAACCCTCCATCTGAAGTGATCGACAGCTTGGTGGCACAGCATTTTAATAACTGTGGATTTGGAGGCTTTGTTCAACAGGCGCGGTACCAGGCTCCAATGGCAAACGAGATGAACAATGTAAGTCATACTTTATCGTATTAGTCTGTTTTTACCCTACCATAACTATCAAGACCGTTACCCAAACCAACATTTTCTAGACTTAGTGGGGTTAGCTCCCACCAGTCTCCCGCAGCTTAAAGGTAGAGCACCTCGGACTACAGTCGATCGAACCTCCACCTCTCCACAACGGCCAACTCTTTTTGTGACGGTGGACAGTCCACCATACATTGACTTTGCCCAGTCACTTGGCCTCATTATTTCGCTCGGCCAAAGCGTTTTGGGACACGGTGTCCAAGCGAAGATGTGAGCCTCGGATACGTCACCGAAGTGAATTTACCGAGAGGCACTGGTAAAAAGCCGTACAGGGACTAGGCAAACATTGACTCCCGTTTAAACCTCTCCACAACCGCGGCCACTTACTTCCTTAAGGTTCAACTGTAGCAACCAGAGGGTCATAGGTTCCACTGCTATTGGGAGTACTAGGATTTTTTTCTTCCGAGCCGCCAGTGTCACTGACAGAAAAACATTTTTCTCATCCTGTAGTCTGTAAGCAGGATGATTAGACCTCGTAAATACCTTCCAGTTGGCTCTGGTTAGTATTTTAGCACAAGGTAATTGAATGATAATCATGCAACGTAGTTTCTCTCTCTCTCGATCATAAACATTTATCCTAGACCGTCCTCAAATGATTACATTCTAACGCGCCTAAGTAATTGTCATTGAACTAGTTATAAGGGCGTCGAATATTGCGGGGCGAAAGACCCACACTCTGATATAATCTACTGTTGAATTCTACAAAGCAAAATTTGGCCCACGCCACTGTCACCTCTGCGTTAGAACATAGAGTCATCCCTTCTTTATAAGTTCTACTCAGTGATACTTTCCCTAACTTCTTATGTTTCCTTTGTTAGGGTTATGACCATAGTCCAGACTACGTTCAAAACTGCACCGTCAATGCAAGTCACTTACCTTATCCGCCAATGATGGCAACTGCGAACTCCCATTACGCACAAGTAACGCAAGGTTACTACATGCATGTTGCGCAACCCGAGCCACGTAACCACATCAACCACGTGACTACCGGCGGGGATGTTCCAATGATGGGCTCTACCATGGTTTACACAGAGGCGACAGGAATGATGGATGACGCTGTTGGGGTAGTGGAACATGCAGACGAAAACGATGAATTCATTAACATGACTGTTCATAAGTTGTTCAACGGTGATTGTGAGTTGGAAAAGATGGATTGCGTTGATGAACCAGGAATGCTCCCGTCTATAAACTCACTTCTTACCTAAGCAGCCATTTAAATGATTACATATATATATATATATATATATATTTTATGCAACTGTACAGAGACCCCTCAGCCGCTATATTCTTGCTATAGAAAAGTTCACATCACATGTAATATATTAATTTTAGAGCCCTTTTTTATATCCAAGCCGTTCTTTCTGAACTTATTTTGTAGTCATTTTGTTCACTACTTATTTTTCAAAGGAAAGCAAGAGTACAGCGAACGCTGACTTCTATAACCAGGGCGCCTGCGCCTATTTTCCTTTCGTCAGAGGTCGTTACCGATTTTAACGGTCGATGTCACAATTAGTAACCAAGTAGTCATGATGCATGTAATATATTCCCTGGATTAAGTTACAATAAGGCAAATAATACGTTTTTGAATAGTCTTAGAAAGAACGAAGTTGAAACCCAAGTTGAATTTACGTGAAAAATTATGGAAAGGGCTATGGTAACCTGTTATTGATGTAACAGTTAAGAAAGACAGTTTGCTAGTATATGTACTTAATTTTCTCGGAATTTTGGCCGGTCAGTGTGGTAGTGTAGTGGTAAGGGATAGCGATTAGGATACGAGAGGTCCAGGTTCGACGCGGGGTTGCGATTTTGTTTCTTTTTCATAGAAACGCTTTCACTAACAGATCAAAAATTTTCTAAGTGTCTTAAAAATGGCAGCGACCGTTTACGAAAGGAACAACTGACTGCGGCGCCTGCCTATTAGAGTTAGTCCCTGACGTTTTTCATTCAGTTCCTTAGTCTCTCATGAGAATACCGACACCACTATGTTCAAAAAGAGCATTTAACGTGGGTCCCATTCAGTTAGTGTTCGTTTTAGAGAGCGTTGACTGTACCTTAAAACCATTCTAATTCGGAGATGATTTTGTAAGCTCAATCGTGGTACGATTCTTAGAAAGGTCGAAATAAGAAGCAAAGACGCTTATTTACTTTTCAACGTAAACTACTCCGCAACTTTGATTAGTAAAGCTCAAAGATGTTCAAAAAAAGAGGTGGCAAGGTGTCCCAGATTTGGCCATTGCACCAGCATTTGATTTAAACCCCAAATTGGTATTGAAACTGTATGTATCATCTTATGACGTAAAAATTGGTCTTAGTTAACTCATTTAAAAACAGCTAGATTCTTACGCTATCTGAAAGTTATGGTTAGACACAACAAGATTACGCGGTTAAGTCAGCTTTCGATCCCGGCCTGGTGCTGGCCAAAAAGGATTGTAGCACTAGAAACTATTAGTGCGATTTATACAGTGCGGTTAGACAGGGCGGTTAAACAGTGCGGTATGTTCCTCCTATTGCCCGGCCTAAGATATCGTAGCAGACGCGACCATTACCTATGGATATCTTATAAATTTGCAGTATTGCCGTCTTCAGTCTAGTTTTAATATTTTGGTACACACATTATTACAGAAGTAATAGCTACGGAAAAATCATTATTTTATATCTTTTCCTTTGATTTTATCATAGAAATTATAATTATAATCGAAAAAGATAAGTAATTAATGGTTGAAAATGAAAAACACAATTCATGGTAAATAAAAGTTTTTAATCGTTCGCCATTTGTATAATAGACAATACATTAAAGTGATATATTTTCGTATCCTAAGTAAACATTGTAAATATTTTTTATGTTATCGTTATGTATTACTCTAGTCTTTTTATGTCCAGATTCTAGATTTACGAGATTCTATTCCTGTAGCATGACAAATAAATAAATAAATATATTACTGAATAAATTTGAGATCTTCCCTATTGGACGAGGTTGAGCAAGGGTTGAGCAAAGTATCTTGATTTGTCTGTGGCGAGCAGATCAATTGTTACAAATCACGAAATTTTGCGACAACCAAGTTCAATAATTGCCTTATCACCGAATTTGTGATTTAATGAATATCTTTGGGAAGCGGGAAAATGCCAAATCGCTCTCTGAAAGGTCAATGAATAGATCTACCGCTTGAGCAGAAATTATTTGCTGCCAAACACTAAGCCAAACAGTTGGACGATATTGCGCATGAGCATACCATTATTAGTAGGCAGTTAAGAAAGGGCCGACAGCCCACCACGTGAGCTGCAAATAACTGCCTGCAAATAATGATCTGTTCATGTGAAATGTCTTCCACCTGGACGTGTTTGGCTGCAAATAACATTCTGCTCATGCGTAAAGGAAACCACGCTTTTCTCCTTCTTGCGATCGCTCTTGCGTGAAAATGCCAGATCGCTTCGCTTACTCACTAAAAAACAAACTCGGTGATCGAATGATAAAACAATTTTTGAACTCGGTTATCCCAAAATATCGTGATTTGTCGCTGTCTCGCAGATCAATTATTTGCCGCAGTCGATCTGCGGCGCCACTGACATTTCACGATATTTTACCCTAACTCGTCAATTATTGTAAATTATTTTTGTATGACCGTAAACTGGCTAACAAAGACCCAAATCAAGGAACTTGTGATCGTAGGTCTGCAATTAGTAAAATGTGAGGCCACCGTGATTTTTTTTAAGTGCAAAACGTGTATGCTGTAGTTCATCTTTTCTTATAGATGATGTTTTACTGCCCATCATTTGATGCTCGCAACGTTAAACAATTTGCGTTGCGGTCTTTAATAAATAAAGAAAACTTAAGTACCAATTCCATTAAGAACAGCAACATTCACTTTTTCGGCCATTCCATAATTACTAACTCCTCAGTCCATTCCAAGCTTAAGTGGAAAACTAGGCTCTTATAGCCGAAAACTTTTATCATGATTAGGCCACAATGAATCCTGTTTTTAATAATACTAGTAAACTATGACGAAAGGAAAACAGCTAGTTGACCTTATGGGTGGGTCTTAACCAGTAACTGTTGAACAACAAAGGACTGTTACACAAGGCATTTGTATATAATCTTCTTGCAGAAGATGTTCGTAAGTAGGGGCGCAGCTAGAAATTTTCCAGAAGTACGCACAGTAGCCAGTTTTCCAAATGACATTTCAAGCGCGTGACTTGAATACATTTCCGTTTTTATGGTGAAGAGACACTCTTGCCTGAGAAAACAGCCGACACTTCGGGACGCCACCAACTGTTTCCCTACGAAATGATGTCTGAGAAACGAGCGCAGAATTTCATACTGATGACGCGTCACTATCCAGACCTGGGTAGTGCATCTGATGGGTTGAAGAAAATTCCCAAGCACGCGGCACGCTCGCTTGCGGCAGTTACGACTTTCACATACAAAAACCGGGACAAAACGCCGAATTTTATGAAAAAAAAATCTGAAAAACTTAGAGGGGAGTTACATAGGTAAATGATTTCCGACATTCACAGGGCACCCAATGGAAAATTTTGAGAAAAAGGCCTTAAAAGAACAACAAAGCATGAATAAATCTTTCTGAAACCATTTTCGGCATTTTGGGAGATTGCTTGAAAAAACTTATCTGTTCCTCATTTCCAGCAAGACTGATGGAAGAGTTCCCAGCCAGCAAGGTGCACCTACAACCTGCAACCTGACTTACTTGGGAGTTTCCTAGCAGACGTATGTCCAGGCATTACTGGCCGGTTGGGGTGTGGTCATAGAGCAAAATTCAGACCTTCATTGGGGGGAAGGGGGGTGGTACAAAGCTAGGTGTGACCTAACGACGAAATTCAACCCTTCAGACATCAAATCCCCTCAGACACCCTAAATTATCTTTCTCCCATCAACATTTTCCTTCCAAGGACATATTATTTCTGCCACATCTCCCAGCCAGTAAAACCTGGCCTGAAGAACAGATATTTTGAGGAACCGATCCATTGGCTGCCCCTGCCGATTTAGCTTGCTAACCCTTATATACCTTTTGCTCTTTTTCTTTGTTTCTCTATTTTGTTTTTGTTTTTTATTGAACTTCGACATTCTAGGTACACGCGTGCATAAAGGCGTATAGGCAGACACGCCCGTCCTGGTAAGAACGACTCTTCTGAAATTGCACATTTCGCTACCCTGTTTAAGACAAGAGACCATAACCATGATTTTAAAATTAACATCATGGAATTTTACTTTTTGGAAAAAAATCGTCAGTGATCACAAAAGTAGAAGACACATCGACCAGGAGCAAACAGAAGTCCCTGACGAGTTTCATTGAGTGATTTCCGTGGAGTGAATTATATCCTTCGGGGTGCTGTACATTGTCAGGAGCACATGACCCGGCGCGTGAGCCCATGCAAAGAAGTTTTCACGGATCAGTTTATTTTTAGAATCATTTTGGAGTACTTATCCCCGCAAAAATGGAGGTCCCGTATGTCTGCGCATCCATAGCACAATCAGTAACCGAAAAGAAAGAGTACATGAAATCAAAACATCCGAAATTCTATTTGCTAATTCAGCCTTGCTTCTTTTGTTGTAATGTAAGGAGACCATAATCCGGAGCGAGCAAGTCACTTGTGCCTATGTAACAGTGAATTTACGTATCATTTTTTTTTAAGATCGATGTTTCTGTGAATTTTGACAATCAAATAACTCTTACAAATCAGGCAGCATTGATTGGAGACTAAATATTTCTTTTACCAATATTTTGGACGGCATGGCCTTCCTTCCTCAGGGTCTTACATACAATTATATTTTGCCTCTGTTTGTTAAATAATGGTCTGTGCCCAGCTGCCGAGAATGATCCGTCCATCCCATATTAAAAAAAAAAAGGTGCAGCTAATTAGGGAAAGTTCATTTAATATGACAAGGGGGGGGATGAAGATATTGAAACTCGAAGCTTGAAATTTTAGCAGCCCCCCTCGCTAGCGGTTCAATTTTTTAGGAGCCCCCTTCTTGGTAGTCGAAAAAATTTCAGAGCCCCCCCCCTCCTCCTTCAATTCCTTTGCTCCCCTGAAAAAAGATCGCTAGACTGTATTAAATATATTTACCGTTATTGTATTCAATGGTTTATACTATGACAAACTTGAGATAAAGTTGTGATACAATTTTCTAAAGCATTTTTGGGATGAACAAGAGTGTAATAATTACTGAGACTACATTTGTTATATCTGTAAACCACGTGATATAGCTGAGTTGCACAGGTCATTAAATTGTTGAGTTGAAAACCATCCGATCTGTATGATGATGTCATGTGTTGGTTTTGAAGTATACAAATTTTCGGAGCCCCCCCTCCCAGCGCAACAATTTTTTCAGAGCCCCCCCTTCGGGTGTCTAAAAATTTTCGGAGCCCCCCCTCAATATCTTCATCCCCCCCTTGTCATATTAAATGAACTTTCCCTTACTGTACCAAAACATTGACTGTCGTCATAGCACTTGAGAAAACACCCACTCCATGAGCCTGCGAACAAATTGGTGAATACGAGTCACATGCGCGTAGCTCATGCGCAGTAGGTATCATGGCTGAGATGATATGACAGACGAAGGAAGTTGAGCAAGAGCACAAAATTCGCCCACCGAAAAGTCGGGTTGGTTGCGTTATTTCTCTTGGCCTCTTGGAATTTATCTGCTTCTTTTGAAGACGACAACGTAGACCTTACTGTCCGCCTAGTTTCTTAGCTGTTTCCGCTAACATTCGCTGTTTCCGGTGCTAAATTTCCCTCGGCAGATCTTTACCCGCCAAGAGAACTGGTTTTGACGTTGTGTACGTTGTGTACGTCGTATATTCCCAGTTTAACATCTTCCTGTCTTGTTCGTTGTGGCTTAACGTCCGTAGTAATCATCATGCAAGCTTCAGATGCCGAGGTAGGGGTCCTGGTTATTTTATTGACTTTTTTCATGTTGATCTGTTGTTTGTTGGCGGGAGATTCTAAATTTGTACGTCTTTTCTTTTCAAATTCTTGTTTGATGAAGTGTCCCTTGTGCATGGAACAGTTAGAAATCGACGATGTCAATTTTTACCCATGTACCTGTGGATACCAGGTGATGAAATACTTAAGTTATTATTTTTGTAGTAAGGTTATGTACACAAAATCAAAATTAAGTTACAGTAATCTACAAGCTATGCAATGACGTGAGAAAACAATTCGGATTTTTGGCGTGTATTAATCGTATGTGTAAGTATGTTCCTCATTAACAACAGAATTAAGAGGCCTGCTATTATTAAAGTTGTAGGAACTTAGAAAAAGTTCCTGTCATGAGTTTCAGTTCTGTGATGTAAGCTTTTGTAGTTTACAAAGTACATGTTATGGCGGCATAGTTAAACCCTGCCTTTGAAAGGTGTTTATTTGTAAGGGCTCTCCACTTTGAGATAGTTGATTCTGATTTGAAAATTCAGAAAAATCTTTGATTTGCGTGTAACGTGTATTGAAATATTGTAAAAATATAAGCAAGAATTGCACAATTAATTATCAACCTTTTAATAAGTGTAGTTTCTGAGTGGTTAAATTTTTAGTTGACATTAATTAGAGGTGTCTGTTGCTCTGTTGTTGTGGATTACTCGCTAGAATGTCTGTAAGGGGTTGTGCTGGCCAGTGTTCCAAGTCCTGATCCTTTTGGAGACAATCTGCCTTTCCTGTGTTCAAATTTGGCGTGATTTTACGACACTCAGGACTCTGTGATGTGAAGAGGTTAATGTAGTGTTATCGCTTGAAGTGATATCTTTGTGGAGTAAATGTATTGCCTGTACCCATGGTGAATAGCACCGAACATAGCCTAAATTATTTCAGCTATTATGCTGCGAAACACTGGAACACACTTTTTTGACATTTGGCACGCTTTCGCTGGAACTAAGGAATTTGTTAGCACGGGTTAGGATTGAAAGTTCTAAATTTTCAGGATTTTTATAACTTTTTGTCATTAAATCATAATTTCAGGTTAAGGTACTATGAATTATATCATTGCTTTTTTATAATCTTAGCAATTAGTAATTCAAATTTTTAGAACTTTCAATTTTTAAATTTTGTCTTATTTTACTTGTGCAATATCTGTAAACTAGCTGTATGGCTACGCATACATGTGTATTTATCAGGTAAAATAAAGTGTCTATGTCTATCTCTATGTCTTTTTGACAATGGAATGAGTTAAATGCGTAATAGAATGTGCAGTTTTAATGTTGCTATGGTGAAAACAGTCTAAATTTCCACCCATCCTAAGCATGGGCAGAATACACTTAAGTCAGTGTTTGGTTCTCTTATTATTGAATGCTCTGAAAGAAATAATAACAAAGCCAAGTTATTAGCTCTAATTGACTGACATGTTTATACTTATACCTAAATTTGCAGATTTGCAGATTTTGTTGGCATCGCATAAGAACAGATGAAAATGGACTGTGTCCTGCTTGTAGAAAGGTCTGTCTTCACCACTTTTAGCCTCTATACATAACATGTACCTTCCCATTTATGTATATTACATTATGGTTGCATCTATAACCATACAGCAAAAACAGGCAGTATTAATTACCAATGTAAACTCAAGGTTGGGCAGTGTAATAACTGTCATCTTTAGAAAGCTGTGTTTACACCACTTTAGGCTTCTACACAGACATGTGTATGTGTGCAGTTGTAATTAAACGGTTCCCATACACAAACACTACATTCTGGTTGCAGTCATAACCATATAAAAAAACTAAGTAATATTAATCTTGAACAGTTGTTATTTCCTGGCACTATTTCTTAAGGTTCTTGTGTGTTTTGAACATAGATGGAATCTTAAAGTGTGACCATGTACATTCCGAAAAGTTTTACTAAGCAGTACTCTTTATTTTGACTGTTTAACGCAGTTCTCAGAGTGCCTTTGCACAGATTGACTCTTTGTAAACCTGTTGAGTACCTCTGCCCCACCCCCTGCCCACTATCTGCCCCCCCCCCCAACTGCTCATTTGTAGCAGACACAATAACTTAAATGGTGAAGTGAAACATTCTCGGAGTTTTGTGATTGTTGTTACATTTTTCAGCCATACAGTGAAGATCCTGCAGTTTACACACCACTCTCACAGGACGAGTAAGATGCTCTTTTTTACTTTATCAGTATTATTATTGCTGTACATGGTAATTTTAAAGTTAAATTGGTTATGATGCGACAAGCGAAAAGTGTAGTCTCTGATCATTTAGTTGCGTTTTACTGTTTGCCTATCGGAGTGCTGTGATGAAAGCTTTTTGTGTTTAGAAAAACTTTTTAAGAAAAGTTACACATATTTTCTTGTTTCAGAATACAGAGAATTCTAAAGGAAAGAAAACAGAAAGATGTACAAAGAAAACAAAAAGTGACTGAAAACAGAAAGCACTTAGCAAATGTGAGGTGAGATGTGTGATAGAGATGTATCGGTGGTTACTGTTTATGCAAGAAGTGTAAAAGTGTTGCCACAATCCTTATCTGCAGGTTGGCACTATGCATGCACAACACTTATGTAGTCAGCTTTGTTTGGACTTACATTTAGGATGATTGGAATGTGCAGAAGGCAGTCTGATCATGCGCTTTTGGACCTTCTGTCACTCATAATCTGATTACATGGTTTGACCATCTATCACATGAAACCTACGCAAGGCTCGGCGGAATGGATAACAAAATGTTTTGACCTTTGATCGTTGTTGCCTGCACTCTTTAGTTATTACTAGTTCATATAAATAAAAAGGCGGGGATTTGGCCTGCTAGATGTACCCCTTCCCCCAGTACACTGTGTAGGTGATGTGAAGCATTATAGCATACATGCATGGAACATTTATTGCATCGCATTGTTGCACTTGAAGTACCACTTGAATTTTTACATCAGTAACATAATTACCCTATACACCACGTTGGAAGTATTGTAAAATATGTGTCTTAAAGTTATGATGCCAATTTGTTAGATCCTGTGGTATGATGTTTTCACTTTAATAATCCCTTACCTTTGTTTATCATCTCTGTGGCAACTGGTTGTTGTTGTTTATTTTGTGGTAGAGTTGTACAGAAAAACTTGGTATTTGTAGTCAGATTAACTGATTGTTGTTTATTTTGGTGGTAGGGTTGTACAGAAAAACTTGGTATTTGTAGTCGGATTAACTCAAAGATTAGCAGACCCAGAGGTGAGAATAATTCAAGTAAAGCCCCAATTGATTCTAGATTGTTTACTCTGATGATTATCCTAAAAGTTAGTAGAGGAGATAAAAGTTGTGCACAGTCAAGTTTTAAAAAACCAAAGAAAAGCAGATAGACTGTTGTATGTCATATAACTATGGCACTTCATTAGCTATGACCTACAGTTACTACAGTCGACTCCCAATAACTCGAAGGTTCTAGGGAAATTAAAAAAAGCTTGAGTTATCGGGAGCTCAAAAGCAAGTAACCGGGAATAAGGAAATAAGCAAATGGATGGTGGGGAGGGAATGCAACTATCATGCACACCTCATTTCAAGGGCAGCAAAAAACAAACACGATAGTTCGCGAGCAAATTATTATACTTCGGGCGGTAGTACGGAGCTTTTAAAAACTGCTGTCCATAGGTGGGAAGAATGCCAAACTATATTTCCATGGTGCAGAATGAATTCCAAATTATATTCTAGGAAAAAAACAAGGTTTCCACGATAAAAATCCAAACTGAAATGCACTTTGAGAAACATATTGTGCAACCAAAACAAGTTCGTCTGCGAAGTGAGACGCACCAGTTGACAATAATTGTCAGTGCGTCTCACTTCGCACTTTCTCTCAATTTTCACCTGTACTTTGAAGCTGCTGGCCCAAGTTACTTTAATGTTTTCTGTAAAATACGTCTGCAGTCAAAATTTCAGCTAGAATTACGTCTTGATCAGCAAAACGGGTGAGCAAAAACGGTGAAAACATTAGACCAGGGCACCACAACATCACAAATCAGTGAAGTTACTGTGACTACCCACCCAATACTTTAAACTTCCAATGCTATTATAAGCCCCTCCACTTATAAGACCCCCCATTTATAGGCCTATCTACCTGTAAACAAAACAATACACCAGTTTAAGCCCCCAAATATCAACCCCCTCTAGCTTGTAATTAAAATGAATTTGACTTTTTATGACGTTTTGAAGCTTAAAAAAAGCAGTCTAACTCAAAAAGCATATTGATCAGCACTGCTACAGATCTAGGTATGCAGCTTGTTTCGAAACACTTTTTTCAGTCCAGTTATAAGCCCCACCTCCCCCCTAAAACTCCCTACCTAAAACTCCTTATGACGTTGTATGACCTGAGGGCTTATAATCAGAAGTTTATGGTACATAGATATAAAGCCAACTCGTGTTTCCGTCTTCCTTTGCGATCCATGCACGTTCCATGTGCAATGTGGATTATTAACTTGCTTGCTTTACAAGGAATTATTTCTTACACTTCTCAACCCCTTTTGGCTTTTTTGTAGCTTTTAAAAAGACCAGAGTACTTTAGCAAGTTTGGCAAAATACACAAGATAGTTGTGAATAATAGCACAAACTATGCTGGACCTCAGGTGAGTTAGTTCCACTCTGAAACATGTAAATGTGATCAGTTTCAAATGTTGAACCCCCCCCCTCCCCCCCAAGTGTCCTTGTTTAGTAAAACAACTGAATCTGTTTACGGAGATCCAAACTGTTTGGATTTTCGTATTATGGATTTTCATTTACTGGTACAAAAGATAAAATAGAGTGGCTAAAAATGTTATTAACCTAGTAAATTCAAAATCGGGGAGTAGAGATTGAGTCCTTAACTGTCTATGCACTTTGTACAAATTAGCGTAATAGTGCATGGGAGTTTAGAGGAAATATTGATACATTATTTTAATGGTCATTATAAGCAATTGGAAAATGATCAATTTTATTATGGAAAAGTTGCTGACTGTTTAGTGTCATGAAGGCTGGATATACTTGTTATTTTACAATAACTGAGTGAATCCTTGTGTGCTGTTTGGTCAAGAGCTATGGTCTATGAGAGTATAGACCATGGGAATGATGTAACATGTCATGCAGTGCCGGTTGTTTTGTTTGGTTTTTTGTAAAAAAATAAGTGTTATTCTAAAAAACAAATCGACCACAATTTTCCATGGTCTACACTCTTATAGACCATAGAAATGACGCCATAGAATGTTCAAAACTTTGCAGTGAAACCACTCGCCTGTGGCTCGTGGTTCCACTTGAGTTTTGAACATTTTATGACGTCATTTCTATGGTCTATAAGAGTGTAGATCACGGAAAATTGTGGTCGATTTGTTGACTCTAGAAACCAATTATCATCATCTTTGAAATTAATAATACCTGAAACTGACTAAATTTACATGTATGTGTACAACGTGAAAATTCTAATTGGCTGTTTATAACATCTTTCCAGGGTCCAAGTGCAAGCGCGTATATTACTTATGTCAAAGAGGAGGTAGGTGGTTGTTACTAAGAGGATTTTGTGATGAGGTGATTTATTTTGCGGGTACTTAACTGTTAAATATATGTACAGAGAAACAATTAGTCATACATGAACTTTATTTTCACATAAATTTTATAGTGGCCATTAAGACTAATATCTCTGTGTAAAATTAAAGAAAAGGTAGCTAGCTTATTTACATTAAAAGTACATTACCTACTAAAATATTATCCATATTATACTACATTGTTCGTTGAAAATAATCATTGTGATAGGCTAATGTTATTCTTGACTAGTTATCATTTTCAAGGGACGTTTAAAACTTCTTTTGAGCTTTCTAGTTTAGAACTAGCTTTTGAGTTTTAACATAGTACAAGGGACTGATTATTTTGCTTTCGTTGTTAACAGGATGCAATAAAGGCCATCATAGCCGTGTGTAATACTCATCTTGATGGACGAACACTCAAGTAAGAAAAATCATTTCATTAAAAATTATTTGAATGTAGCTTCCCACAGAAGTGAAAACAAACTTTGTAAGTCATTTACCAAAACATAGGTTTTGGAGAATTAGGTATCTGAACCATTGCTGTAGGATTGTTTTTCAGTGTTTTATGTTCATACATGGGTAGATTTTGAATCCAGTCATTGTTTTTGTGACATGGGAATGCCTGAGCTACCCATAATGGCTTATTAATACTTTCCAATAATTTTTCAAACTTTGTCTTTTAGCCTTATGATAATGTTTTGTAAACTTGTTTTTTTTTAACTTTGCAGGGCATCACTAGGAACAACAAAATACTGTAGTTACTTTCTGAGAAACATACCCTGTCCTAAAACAGTAAGCAATCTGATTTTTTTTTATTATCATTCATTTTCAAATAAGATTACATTTAGAAATAAGTGAACTAAAAGGATGAAGGGGGTTTTTTTAAACAAGGATCTGCTCTCAGAAAAAAATTAAGGAGCCCATGCTCTGAACCTGTGAAATGCAGGGCGCCCAGCATATGATTTCTAAGCAAAAACTGAGATTTCCTGGGTCTTGCACAACCCTGTTTTTATTATTTTATCACAGTCTTTGCTGGTGTTCTTTTTGTGCATCAGCCGGGCGCAAACCATGCTCGTAGAGCGTCAGTCACTCAAGTCAATCATTCTGTTCATACACTGAGCACCTTTCTGAGGATTCGTGCAGATCCCAGCATGCAGATCTTTTGAATCTCTGTCATAGTAGCTCTCTCTGATACTTATTATTATCATTATCATTATTTTTTGTCAAATAGGAAATTTATTTTCAAAAATAAGGCAAATAAAGGAACTTGACAAATACATAGAAACAGAACACATCATTTGAGGAGGAGGACTTATTCAAGGAGAGAGGGCCTATTTAATGGGTTTTCATCATTATTGTTAATATTAATTGTGCCTTATATATTGTTTTTTAGGATTGCATGTATCTTCATGAGTTAGGTGATGGAGCAGGAAGTTTCACAAAAGATGACATGCAAGCTGGGTTAGTGCTCTTTTTCTCCTTTTTTTTCTGCTCGATACTTCCTTTAAATTGTCAGCCTTTTTGGCCCTGGTATCTTTCAATGTTGTGTTTGCCATCCAAAATGTTTTAGTCGGACTGGTTGATCCACACATCCTGCCACTCTGTCTTGGCACTCTTGGACTAGATCTGATCAGATCATTACAGAAATTACCCTGAGAAAAGCTTATTGTCAAGCGTAAAAGTTATTATTTTTGTAAAAAGTTCTGTTTAACTTAAACCTTAAAAGAAACATTAGGAAATAACGAAGTGTGCAAGTAAAAATGCTGCAGCTTTGTCTCAGCGAAACCAAAAGGTAAAAAGTCTAGATGCTATAAGAATCCACATGACAACAGGCCATTTGCATGATGGCGTCATTTTACTACCACGACCAGCATCCTTTTGTTTTTCCTTTCATTTTAAATTTGGTAATCTCAGCGAGGATAAAATAACAAAAGTCCCAATTTGCACAAGAAAGCGAAACCTTGAAGAATGCTGGTCGTAGTAGTAAAATGCAAATGTCCAATTCTTTTTTTTTTTTTTTTTTCACGTGACAATTCTTGGACGTATGTTGTCTTTTTTAGGAAACATCAAGAATATGAACAACAGTTAATTACATTTTATTCAAAGAAAATGTAAGTTTCAAATTGAGTTATTTATAATTATTATGTGGATATTTCTTGTATTTGGTGATAGCAAAGGGGTGAATAGCCAAAGATTCTAATAAATCATCTCAAAATGATTTAAAAGACATTGTTATTTATTACTGTCTTTGTAATAAATCTTGACTTTCCACTGCTATAAAATAGGAAGTCCAAGTGTTGTACTGGTACATGTATGGGCATCCAACCACACAACACAACTTAAAAAGAACAAGACGTTTTGAACTGCTTGAGAAGAAAGCCAATAATAATTATCAAGAGTAGAGTACTGTACTCACCCTTTTCTTTTCTTTCTTTCTTTCTTTTCTTTTTTTTTCTTTTTACAGGGGCCTTAGTAATGATAAGGTAAGCCTTCTTAATATTTTGTAAAATGGTTATCTTAGATATGGCGTGCTTTGTGACTCTCCAGCCACTATAAAATTATTTTATAGTGGCTGGAAAGTCACAAAGCACACCATATCTAAGATAACCATTTTAAATTGTACAATTACAATGACTTTCCATAAAATAATTTTATAGTGGCTGGAAAGTCACAAATCATGCCATATCTTAGATAACCATTTCAAATTGTACAATAATTATTTAGAATTGTCAGTGTGAGGTGGAAATTTAAATCATCACTTGTGGATATGGCAAGCTTTTGCTGGAGAGTTTGTTAACCCAGAGCAGTAGCGCAGGTCTACCAATCCCACCTTTTAACTAACATTTACTTTATCAAAATAATGTTGCCTGCCAATCAGACAAGTTTTGATTAAACATACTAGCCTGTCAGGCCGTTCAACGCTCCAGGCTATCGAGCAGTACTTTTTTTGTGCCCTGGTCAAAAGTGGCCTTTGTGTGTCAAGAAAACCTTTTGAAAACAGATGAATTATGGATGGTCTAGGTAATGAAAGCAGTCATTAACTTAGTAAAAAGCTTAACTAAAACAAAAAGTCTTTTCTCATTTATAACTTTGTAGTGTTAACCAAAATGCTGAACTGCAATGTGTTTCTTTATACCCCAACAACCTATGATTAGTTGGGAGTCTCACAGTGAAATACCATTGAACATCCCTTAGCTAATAATATTATTTCAGTAGGAAGTACAAACTACATGAATAACAAGTCACCCTTTTTTAACACCACATTTTTTTCCTTTGAAGGATTCAAAAGAATGTTGGCCTGTGGTAGACAGCAGTGAAAACAGAGTGTCACCATGTTTACCACTGGGGGCAGCCTGGTATGATACTTTAAATTTTGAATATCTAAATCTGGATTTCTTAGTAGAATACACTTTAGTGAGACATCAGACAGTCTGGAGGCAGTTGATCACCAGCTCTGAACTTTACTTGTCACACTTGTAGTATTTCTTCTCTTTGCCTAGGTATAGCTGCAATATTGAATATCACAAACCTGATGTAAGGCAAAATAAAATACATACCAAGTGCCAATTGTTCAAACAATGGAAAGCACTATCCGTGAGATAAATCACAATTTAGAGAAACCAAGCTTGTTATATAGAGATTTATCCACCTTTTGAAGAACTGGGGCCGAGTGACTAAAATGGCCATTTTTCTAATTATCAAAATTCATACTTGGCTCTCAAGCTGAAGGGAATTTTGTTAAACTTCATACTTGGCTCAGAAGCTGAAAGGGATTAAACAAAAGACATGCTATTGAGATTTAGCGATGAATAATACATTTCTTCAGTTTTATTCAAAACTGGCCTGTTGCTTTATACATGTACATAGGCACTGACTCTGCAGTTTCCTCACTACCTTTCAGGGCTGGTAAAAATGAAGATGATACAAATCAACCTGTTGCAGATGGTGGTGATAGTTTAGCGCCGCAATGTAAAGAAGACTGGGAACAGTCCTGGACACCTCCTACGGCCATGCCTGATCAGACCTCTTCTGCTTCAATAACACATCAACAACCAACAGTTTTTCCTCAGACATCACAAGCTAGCACAGGTAGCGAATGCTTTTGATTAATAAACAGTAAAATTTGCCCCTTTTAGGTCACAAATACAGAAAAGTATACTATAGACTAAGCCATCCCAGTAACCCCATGACTTCTCATTTGTTTGATTAAGTCAATATTGGGCAAAAGCAATTGTGGAGAATTTGATAAACTTTCACCCTTGTAGGAGACAAAATTGCTTATAACCAACTCAGGACTTTACAACTCATGGACTATTTTACACCTTTTATCTGTCGCAGCTAATTTTTTGTGTCTAATCAGTTAATTTTTGTCTTTCCTAAATGTTTCTTGATATAGTAATTTATGCTAATTATTTTGAAACAAAGGAAAAATGAAAATCAACTGAAGTGGAAAAATGAACTGGTACAGATCCAACTCCAGTGCATTGGATAATAATATGTGAAGTATTCTTCCCCTCATTGTAGCAAAATGTCTGGAACAGGACCTTAATACAAATTACATTATGTTATCCTTGAGTCATAACAAATAATAATTTATGTTCAAAGTCCTTTGATGTTGTGTCATATCAGGGTAATACTGTTGCTGTATTAAAGGTTTGTCCTTTTCAGAAAAGTTTTAGGCTTGCGTGCATAGTATTCCTTCGGTTTAATGTTATTTTATTTGCCCCAGTTACACTGTATCACACACTTAAAATAGATTGTAGGAATATTTATTTGCTGTATTATCTTGCAGGGTGGGCAAATACAGAAAGTGCTACTCGTGTCTTAGAGTAAGAGGCATTTCTCTTTTAAACTACAGTTTGTAAGAAAACAACAACAGAACGTTTCCTTGTTAGTTTCTTTACAAATCTTTTCACATGAACTTTTCCTTTTTTTTTGAAAACTTTATTAATGACTTCCCAAATGGTACAATAAAAAATTATACCAATTAACAACAGTTGGGAGCTAGCTACACTAATTACAATTTACAACACTACTCAATACCAAAATAAGAGAAAGAAAAATTGTAAATAAGTGAAAGTGAAAAAAATAAAATAGTTTGAACAATCAAAGCTGTTTGTTTAACACAATTTCTTTTATAGCCTATTGAAATAGTGACGTCAGAAGTGGGCAGGCAGCTGATTATGAATGTTAATATTAGAATTTGAGGATAGAAGCCAGCTACAATTTGCAAGTTACAGCTAATGTAACAGGGTGCAAAGAAAGCCAGTTTTACAGCTTGCCATTCGGGCAAGCTGTAGCTAGCATGTACTAGCCCAAAAGTCATTTCAACTAGCCCCCAAAAAATTTGATGAGCAGAATTGATGACAGTTCTTCTGTTATTCGAATTCCTAAAAAAATATCACTTGCCCGTTGGGCAAGTTAGAAACAGTATTCATTAGCCCGATAGCAAAGTCCACTAGCCACGGGCTATTGGACAATACTTTCTTTTCACGCTGCGTAACCTGAGAAAACAGCCAACATTTTGTAATGCACCTCTGCTTTCCCCTCAAAATGACCTGCTAGGAAGGAGCACAGAAATCAGAAATTCAATACAGATGATACATCACCACCCAGATCTGGGTAGTGAAGTGTCATCAGTGTGGAAGTTCTGTGCTTTTTCCTCAGACGTCATTCACAGGGGAACCAGTGGTGGTGTGGTGAAATGTCCGCTGTTTTCACTGGCTGCAACTACCTTAAACTTGTGAATCAAGTCTGAGAACAAAATCCATAAGCAGTTTATTTCAGGGACCTTTCTTGCAGCTGTATAACTTGTGATATTAAGTACTCTTGAATCTTACTAAATTCTGAAGCTGATTACAGACTGTTAGGGAGATATTTTGAAATAAATTATTTGAACCATTTTTAAATGGATTGAATTTTTTTTTTTCCTGGCAGGACTTCCAGCCTGTTCACAGGAGATATCTGTGGTACCGGCTTAGGACTGGCCAATCTACACTTGAAAGTTTATGGAGATGATGATTTAGGTATGAGCTTAACTTATGCTTTGTTGGGAGTTCATACAGGTCATGGAAAACCTGGAAAGCTATGAAATTTAAGAATTTCACAGTGTTTTTTTTTACCTCTGCATCCTGTGTCCCTGATGCATAAAAAATTCTCAAAGACACAAAATAATAATTCATGACATCATGAGGTATGCCTCCTTTTGTAGGATGCAAAGAATGATTGAATGATTTGAAGATCTTCTGGTAGAACATCCTGTTGTGTGATTTCTCAGGCTGTTGTTTAAAGTTGCATATTTTTTGTGCTTTAAATATATAGAAGAACTATATATATCAGTTAACTGTAATAAAGAGTTTTGGCATCTGTCTCCAGATTAACTGTCTGGTTACATAAAGGCCTAAGTATAACTCCTTTTTTTTTTTATCTGCGACTGATTGGTTATGGGCGGAGACTTATGATTTTTCACAAGATGAGTACCAGGACTCACCATAACTATTTGTAACAAAAGCACTGATTTCATTTTCCAGACCTGGAATTTAATTGCAGGTCATGTTTTTTGTACACTAAATTGCAGCAGCCGAGTTTCTCCAAGTTTGATGTTCTGTGCCAGAGCTTCATGTAGTCAAACAGGCTGCTCAGAATTTAAAGTAGTTATTTTTAGCAACGTAATGACACTTGAAATAAGAAAATCACTGTATTGTTCCTTTTATATTTATTTATTTATTTATTACAGATAAATAAATAAATATAAAAGGAACAATACATAAAATAAATATGATATATAATAAAATAATAATCAAAACATTTGCCTTTCCCATTTTTAGGGTTTGACCCATGGAATGAGTGCAGTAAAGGTTTAGCAGATCTCCTCCAAGAGGAAGAACAAACCACAAAACCTCAATCAACACAACACATTTCTACAGCTTCACATACACACAGCTTCTTATCTCCATTTCCAAGAGATGTAAGAAATCTTCATGAATTTTGTTTAATTTCAAAGGCAGTGTTTCTTTTGTTTTCCCTGCATTGCCTTTAAAGTAAAATCAGACCACATGGGTATGGTTTTCCCTATTCTTTACTTGAACAAATGTGACGTTATTGTTGTCTTATTATTTTTTTGTTATAGCCTGATGACATTAGAAACTTGCAAGATGGACTAAGGGCACTTCTTCCTAATATAAACATTAATTTTTCAGGTACTGTAATTACAAGGAGATACTGTGCCTGACATTGTACATAATCTTTTGTAGCTGTGTTTGATTTTTCCTTTTGCTCTAATATTATTGCTTGGCATTTCACATGTTACCCACAGTCCTTGCAAAGAACATTGCCTTGGGCTTTTTCCGGGACAATTTTTTTATTTTGTTGTGCTGGAAGATGATTGGTGGCAAAAAAAAGAGTCTGTATCTTTGTAAAACAAAAGAAACAGTGCCACCTTGTTGCATGCCTTACATTGGAAAGACACTGAATGATATACAGAACAACAACAGGTTCCTTACACCTCAGACACACCAAGATTTTTTTTCTTTGTCTAATGTTAACAAATCTTTTCAAAAATTCTGTTTTCCTCCTTCTTGTTTCATCACCTAGATTCTCTCCTATCACAACAACAAAATTCCTGGCCTCCAACATCATCATCATCATCATCGTCATCTTCTCTTGTGACAGAACCAAGCCATACGAACTGGCCTTTCACATCACAGCAAGCGTCAGCTGCTTTACAAGGTTGGTATCCAACAAAACATACATCAGAACATGCAGTTTACGAGTTAATAGAAGGCCAAAATGTCCATGATCAGATTGCATTCTGTGCATTCCACTCATTCTTGGTAGCAGTCCAAACAAAGGTGGCTACATAGGTGCTGTGAAGCAGTAATGGCAACCTGGGCTGAGTTGTTCAAAGCTGGTGGGTTAAGATAACCCAGGGTTAGTGCGAGATTTGAATTAAGAAGCATTTCAGTTTTCATTTTTTTTTCCACAAGTTGATGATTTGAAGCTCTAAAAATATCAGAGAAAATTATGTGAGAAAAAGCTTTTGAACATAAGAAAAAGAAACCTGGGTTAAATTTAACCCCAGGTTAAGCGCTTATCGGGCTTCCAACAACTGGGCCCTGGAGATTAGGACTGTCACTCAAAATAGAGAGGAGCCAAATTTCTGAACGACTACAAACGGAAAACATCATTTAAAACGTTTATTTACAGTGTTTCAAACTTCATCAGTCTTATTCAATTTCATTTAATTTGTCATATGTCGGTGAAATTTTTGGGGGTTGAATTCAAAAGGACCATATCTAAGTTTAGAAAAAGGAAAAAAAAATTGGTGTTGTGTTCACCTACTCCATAAATCAAGCATGTGAAATTAGAAAGTGTCATGTCGCCGTCATGCAACAGCAGCTAAGCAATGTACAGAAAAGTGTGATGTTTTTTTTTTTGTTTGATGTCACTGCCTATCTTTTTTTTAATTATTATAATCGATCACACTGTTATAAGTTACAGAAAGTACATAATTAGGGAATAACGAATTGGAAAAAGAGGGAAGAGAGGAAGTTCATCTTACAACAGATGTAACACCTTTTACATTAATATAAGGGCCTGACTTTATAACTAAGTTTCTTTGATAGTATCTTAATCATAACAGCTTCTAAATAGCGTTTATCAATTACCGAATTTTTCAAGCTGGTATTTCATTTCTATTTATTTGGCAAAGTTTGAGAGAGTACGCGCTTTGTTATGAATTTAACAAGAATAAATGTATATCTCATAAATAACAGAGGGTAGTTTAATTGTGCTGTAAGTCAGCTATTGTTTGGTGAATTTTCGAAATAATTATTCTTTTAACAAAGGGAGTATGTTGGAGTTATTACTAGAATTGGAGTATGATGTTGTTTTTTGCTAATATAAACCTACTGTTTTTTTGCCGTTCTCGTTAAGCTCCCCATTGTTGTGATCCAGATATTTTACCACCATGGTAGCCTGCGTGGCAAGCGTTTCCTCGCGAGGTTCGTCTAGAAAGCTAGGACAAGAGCAAAAAAAAAAAAGAATGACGGGGGAGGGGGAGGGGAATGAAGGTTTCCTCTTCTCCCCTCCCCCTCCCCCTTCAACCTTTTTTTTGCTTCCGCTCTAACTTTCGCCCAATAACTCGATTGGAAACGCTTGCTATGCAGGCTACCACCATGGTAATGTGATGTCACATCTTTCTCCATTATTGACAGCCCTGTTTAGTGAGCTGATGGAAAGGGTAAATCAGTTTTCAGTACTATTGGTGGTTAGGCCTAGTAAAAGCCTTTGTGACTAAAATGAACTTGTTTCATTTTGTAGTTCGCCCTCCTCCCGGATTTGAATGTAAATCGCCCTCTAGTCACATGTCATCTCTTGATGATCCCAGTATTTTGTGGTCTAAAAGATTAGAGCCAGGTCAGTATCAACCGTTTTGAATGATATAAGCACCTGTCCAATGTCTCAATTTAACAGTGGACTCAAAATACACCTAAAAAATGCTTCTCTGATTTTTACACATGGTGGAAAGGTTAAGAGGAAAAGGTTCACTCTTTCACCATCTTCATTTTCTAGAATAACTCTTAGGTTTCACCGTTTGTCAAACCTGTATTAAGTGGTCAGTACAGTAAGCCTTTTCCCAAGGGTGACCCCATAATACAGCTTTGACTGTATGTTGAACACTGAGCTAAAAAGATAGATAACTTGGAGTGCTGGTGTATAACTTCCATCTATTTACAGTTCTTATTTAGTTCATTCATCAACAGACTCATTTTCTTGTGTTTTCAGGCAACCCATCAATTACAAGGACTGTATCTAATGGATTTCCTGGAATGCATCCCTTAACAAGACCAGATCTTCACAGCGCCGCGGTACGTCAGTCCTTTTTTATTGTTCATGCCTATCTTGTACCAAGCATGTTTTAAGAAGCGACAAACCCTTGCCACAAGCCCTAGCCAAACAAAAATTTTATTTTTACTTCCAGAGACCATAATTTTTATTTTATCGGCGGAGGGGGAAGGATGGAGGTTGGGATTTCACTGTTCAGAGTAAGATCCTGTAAAACCTGACTTGTGCCTTCACACAAAGGCAGGGGTTAACCGTTGGTCAACCGTCCGATATAGGGATGTACCTCTTAAAAGCAAGTTGACAGCAAAAAAACCTCTGCAATGAATTGTAAAATTTAAAAAAATCCGTGTCGCATATTTTACCCAAAGGATCTGGGTCAAGTTTGTTTTTATATTTTTGTTAAAGTTTCGATGAGTCTTGGAATATACCTTGCCTCAGTTGAAAAATTAAGGCACAGAAAAACGGACAACAAAAAACAGGCCACTTGTTTTGCAGCATTGCTGCAGAAGGAGTTGAATATCGGTGTTGCGCGTTTTACCACCCACATCAACCTGTCTTGCAACAAATCAGGTTGTTGACAGGTTTGAACGTCGTTGGTGAAACACACAACACCGCTTTTCAACTCGTTTTGCCGCAATGTCGCAAAACAAGTTGCACGTTTTCGTTTAGACTACGAGCAGTCTCTCTTTTCTGTAGTCCGTCGAGCAAAACGCGAGACACGCAAATGGCCACGCGCGTCCGCCCTCGTTTCGCGCGTCTCGCAGCTTCGCCGCTCCCGCGCGCGTGCATTGCTCTTTCGTTGCCCGTTTTACCGAAGTTTTAGATGGCACTGTCGACAGAATAATTCACTTTCCAGTGAATAAGTTGAATGGAAAGTACTATCTATTGGATACAGATTCATCCAGTGGATGGTGCTATCCATCTTCTGTACAACTGAGGCCTGAAAAATAATATTTTTTACAAGGTTCGAACACTGTAATTTTCATTTGAAGCCAGTTTACAGTATGTCGTGTTTGTTCTAGGCAGTCTCATCAGGAGAGAGGATAGAAGCACGATTAAATGGAGATTCATTGATGAATATAAACTCTAATACTAACGCTGGCTTGGATAAATTAAACAGAAGAAAAGACCGAAAAGAGCCCTCTACGGAAAATATTATAAAGAATTCAATCATAGAAGGAATTCACTCCATGTCGTCTGTGACACATAATCCTGTTGAGCAGGTCCAGACGAGAGTCAGTGAATTATCTGTTATTAATGTGAACGATCCGGTTCAATCGTGGTCAGACTATGATCTGACAACTAAAAACGCGGATGGCAGATTACAAGAGAGTAGAACATTACGGCAGAGACGAGACGGAGAAACCGCCAGTAAGGACATACAGCGGCAACAGCAGCAATCAGGGTATTCAAAAGTTGGAAGAAAGTAGAACGACACAACAGGCTTGATAATAAATCGAATCCTAGGTGGTCTTAAAAACATCTGAAGGCGAGTCCTACTGAAAAAGTGTTCAAAAACGAGGAAAAAAATCTAAGGGAAGGCTGTTCAGTTGAGAAGAAGGTGGCTCAAGTATTCTTTGGTGGGTTTAAAACTGACAGTTGTAAGAGTGGTGTGTATTTCCAGGCAACTTGAAGAACACACTTTAGCCGCCATAGACTTAATTGAAGAGAGTACAGCAATGATCATGGAAAAGAAGTAATGCGCTTATCGTCGCTTTGGAGGACTCGTTTTTTTGAAAGGATACTGAAGCAGTAAATGATTTAGTACCGTATTTACTCGATTAGAAGAATGCGGCGTTTATTCGAGAATTATAGAAAAACTCGGAACGACTTTGTAAACCTACACCATCCAGACAACTACGATTCTATCTCAGCAAAAAAGCAAGACATGGAAACTTTTACATCTTTTTACAAAATATTAATTTACAAATGACTTGCCGTAATTGTTTTCAGTGATTTAAGACGTGATTTGGAAGTAAATGCCGTAGGGGAAACGCTAAAAAATTAATAAACGTCTCGATGTTTGATCGAGTAAGTACGGTATTTGTGATAATAATAATTATAAAAAAAAAACTAAACTGCAAAAGACAGGCAACATTTTAAAATGGTCACAGATAGTAATTAATCCATTTTGTTTATTTTCCGTGGGAGAACGTTCGATATTAAAATACGGACACTTTTCTCTCACGGAGAAAAACGGTAAAAACCCATAGCCAAATCGCAGGTCACTGTCGTCATTGTGAATACAGAATGTATTTTTTGCAGATTGCATAACACCAATCGTTACAAGCATATGAACTTGTTTTATAGAGAAAAAGAAATGGCTGTTTGCTGTTTTCTGACAAAAGCTGCTGACTTGTCTTGTGCCTCAAATCTAGTGGACTTCGATAGAGTTCTGCTCTCTTGTAATATGAATACTTTAAAATAACAATAGCAATAATAAACAGGAACAGATTTACTAAACGTAGCGGATTTTTCCTCCCTTGGCATAGCCTGCATCAGTCAAATTGTTATTATGGTATGTGCTCCCTGATGTAATTTGTTTGACATCTTCCTCATACTTCTACAGGAGCATTTTTTGTACGGGATACTATGAGGGACGGACCATTACTTTTTTTGACGGTGGCGGGGGGCTTGGGGGCGGGGTTGGAAAATCTTTTGAAATAAATTGTTTGCAGAGGCTGTAAACACCGAAAGAAATTGTATGCAGGTGAAAAAAAAAAGGTGTTTGCAGGTAACCGGGGCGCAGAAAAAAATTGTTTGCAGCAGGAACCGAGTACATAAAAAAAGTGTTTGCATGTGAAAATTTTCCAACCCACGCCCCCTCCACCCCGTCCAAAAAAATAATGGTCCGTCCCCTGGCCTATAAGCACAGAATTGACCTCAAATAGTAATATCCTCGTGACATCACAAGGTTCCCAGAATCACAACAGCCTACTGGAAGCCAAATTATAAGGATTCAGTAGGAAAACAACACAGACACCAACCTCGTCCCCAGGGCTTTTCCCTTAAAAAGTGGGTGGGGCACCCATTTTTTAAGGGAAAAGCCCTGGGGACGAGGTTGCACAGACACAGCTCTTTATGAGATGTGTCTACTTTACTAGTAAAATCCAACTGGTGGTCTATTATCAATGATGCGTTCTGATTGGTTGAGCTACTGCTAGGCTATATGTTATAGCCCACTAGTCAGTAGCGAAAAGCGCCGGCTTTGGAAACCAAAACCATGGCGACTGAATCGCGTTTAGCTGCACGAGGACAATTTTGTACTTTATATATACAGTCCTTTGGAATCAACTCCAGAAAGATTCTTCACATTAAACAAAATGCATGAAATGGAACAAGGTTGATAACGCTGGAAACAGCGCGAATTCGCTTTCCAAAGGTCGTTGCCGTCCTGGTTTCGTAAGCTCCCCGTTCACTTCCGCTACGGTCTAAATACCCGATCACCTACCTCGTACCCAGACGTCTCTCTCTCAATGATAATGTGCCCTTCCCATGGTCCCTTACGGTTCATCACCAGTCGCTCGCCTCTACCTTGCCAAAAACAAAGCGCCTGAGGAGGAGGCTGCCCGATCACACTACACCAAAGCGTGGCACAAAACCTATCCGATATAATATGACGCTCCACTTTCGAGATCGGCGCGGCGCAGCTTCGCTCCGCTGCAGAAATCGCGCCGAAATCACCGTTCTTGTGTGTGAACAGAATATGGTATGGTTTTTCTTGCCGGCGCAAACACTATCCGGTGCCTAATCCCATTATTGGTCTGGGAGAAGGTATATTTTCTCCTCCCAATCCATTACACTGATTTGTTCTTTCAGTGCAATACCCAACTAGACTGCAAAACAGTCGTTTTTTTTTTTTTCTCTTCTCAAAATCGCTTGGGTGCAGCTTAAGAGTCTCACACGCGCGAAGCGACGAGCCTCAAACGCTCGTGATCTCGCTCCCCTTTTTCAGCCTCGCTCCAGACCTTTTGTTTGACTGCTTGCGCGTACATACGGACTGTTTTGCAAATTAATGCAATAGCACGGAAACAGCGTTTTGTGTTTGCATAATGGCGTCATTTTACTATGACCAGAATCCTTCCCGTTTTTCCTTTCATATTCAAATTCGGTAATCCCAGCAAAAATAACAAAACTTCTAATTTGCTCACGAAAGCAAAATCCTAAAGGATTCTGGTCGTAGTAGTAAAATGACGTCATGCAAAGTAAGATTTATGAGACAAATCGTCATGATCTTTACATAAATTTGTGCATTTCTTAGCCGTCCTCGGCACAATTTGCTTATGAGACGTTTTACATCACACTAGACTGATTTTCCTTTTCTTTCAGAACTCAGGATGCGTGCAAACGTCTCTTATGTTTTCTTCCTTTTCTTTGGCCGAGAACCTCCCACGTAACCTGCAAATAACTGCCTACATATAATGGTCTGCTCATGCGCAATGCCATCCAACTGTGCAAATAATATTCTACTCATGCGTAAATGAAACCACGCTTTTCTCCTTGCTCTTACGTGAAAATGGCAGATATTCATTGAAAAACAAATTGGGAATGATAAAACAATTATTGAACTCAGTTGTCGCAAAATATCGTGATTTGGCAGTGTGTCGCCGATCAATTCTTTGTCAATAATGTATCTGCTCGCCACTGACAAATCACGGTATTCTGCTCAACCTTTTCCAGTTATTAATGACTTAAACACGAAAGTCAGTACATACAATGGGCTGATTTATTTTGACAACGGTTTACTTGACACCTTACTTCGGTCTGGTTTTTCTCACTTTTTGTACAAAAATATTTTATAATCTAATTTGGGCTACCTAATCGAGGAAATACAACTAAGCATTTTGCACTGCATAAACCGTCACAGAAAAAAATAATTACTATTTTATGCTAACTAAGGGAATACTAAAAAAAAAATGAATGTTAATTAAAAACAATAATATACACTGTAGAGTACAAAATGAAGACTTTTTTAGCCTGCGAGCAAGTTGTCCATTTGGGGGATTCACGAGAAGTCACATGAGAACTACAAGCAAAAAGAAATGTTGGTGCGAGAGGCTTCACCGCTCGCTCGAATGTTCTCTCACAGCTTGCTTCACTCGCCATAATTGGAGAGCTTTCTCGCAGGCTAATTTTTTTCAAGCAGGATATTGAATTTATGTCAAGCCACTGTTGACAAGATTAAACAGGTAAGTGATAGAAAATAATTTTCGACTTTTCACTGCCACTAACAAATAGCTTGTGTACGGCCATGTCTCTCCCCGATTTTGTTTGAGGGGAGGGGGCGGATGTACACAGGCTACTAATGCAGGAAAATAATCTCTTTATAAGGGCCATTTCTTGGGGGGAAAAGAAAATTGTGCTTATTACAACGTACAAAATCACTCCCAGAGGTGCCACAAAGATTCAAGCATGAGTTTTGAAATAGTCTTCTCCTCTGGACAATGTCAGCTGTCAGAAGTCAAACACTATTGAAATGTCTTGCAGAGGAATTGGCTGAAGGGGGGACAGAGAGGAACCTTGGTGAGGCCAAATTCATGATCATCATTTAAATTATTGGTTAATTGCAAATTCCATTAAAAAAGCGCTGCCACGCGCCTAGCAGAGCGGCTAACAGGATTGAGGGAGAAATGTATGAAGAAATCGAAGTTGAGTGGCTCACAAAAGATTAAAGAACAGCTTAAGGGGTGTCTCCCCAAATATATTGGTCAGGATTGAAGCTCCATTAAACAAGTATTCAGATGGTTTCTGCAGATTTTTTGAAAAGACAGATGACTCCATTCCTTCACTTTGACTCAACCAGGCCACTTAAAACTGTACAACAGTTTGCGCCAACATTGTCCAGTTCGAACCAAGCACATAACAAAATTCCTGAATCAATAAAGCCACTGTCAAAGACACAGGAGAGATTTTACGACATCATCATGATGCTGACAGTAAGGAACAGTTTGCCTTTCCTTCTATAAATATCCTAACTGCTCAGATGTCAAATATTCTTCTTTGTACACTAAAACATCCAACTTTATCACAATCAAAAGTTATGATGAACTTATAATCAATAATTCACAGTACAGTGTAACTGTCGTTAAGCTCATCACTTACATCCATAAAGCATTTCTTTAAAATTAAGCATCTATTGCAGTTCATTCTGAGAGTTGACTGACATAAAGCAGTTCAGTTCACACCTATTCTAAGCTTTGAAGATAGCTTCATTCCGCTGCACCACTCTTGTCCACTAGTCTGGATTTTCGTCTTCTAGTTTTTGCACATATCTAAACTGGAAATAGCCTGTCCTCTCACCATTTTGTCCAAACCAAATACCATTATCATATTTCTTAAGAACTTTGATGATGTCTCCTTTCTGCAATAAACACATCAATAATTGTAAGAGTATAATGGAAAAAATTAAAGTCTCTTAAACTTGTTTCTACATATCTGCATAAACTGTGGTACATTAGCCATGGCATCAACTATTACCAGTGCATGGGTGGATCTCAATTTGCACAAAAAGACTTTCATTACCAGTTGCACCTGGGAAACTTTTGAAAGAAGGCAATGTATCAAGGAAGTTGGGACAAAAACCTGGGAGCGACTTCAAGAAGGAAATGATCTGTTGTTGCTGCTGCAAGAGCATGGTGCTGATATTAGATGCCTTGCCCCAGAGGCTTTGGAAATTTCAGAGGGGTGGAGGAGGAGGAGGAGGTTGGTGGGGGGGGGGGGCAGGTTGAAAATTCGATCACTTTTCACTTGGGGAAATTCAATAGTGGAAGGGGGGGAAGGGAAATCTGTATCCCTAATACACGTACAACTTATATTTAAGGAAAAAATACTTTCCTAGACATTAAAGTAAAGTAAAACTACCTCAAAGGAAAGTTTTGATTCATCATAAGGTAGAACATGTTGTCGGATGGCAACACACAAGAAGGAATTATCTGAATTGGAAGAATTAACCTGATAAAAAAAGAAACAGAAACATGATGCAAGTATCATACTTGTGTTCATTATTAGAGGGTAGCAAAAGGTGAACCCTGTCTTTCCAAGAAGTGGACAAAGTTGAATGGTTGCACAACAGAATTTTTTCCAACTCACAAGACTCATTCTTGTTTACTCTGGGTTTGAAAGGCTTATTAATGACATTTGAACTTAGATCACCATGCCTTCTAGTTGAATGTGACCTGAATTCCAGAAAACAGTGCACCTAGATGAATAGTGTCTGCAAAGTAGTCCGCAAATCCTTAACCCTGCCTCTTGTGGTCTTTTGTTATTTTGTTGGAGGAAACAAACAGGGATTTGGGGACTTCTTTGCAACTTATTATACATGTATTAAAAATATTGAATTATGTCTGCACTGCAGGTTAGTTATTTGATATTGATGAGGTCAGAAACTAAAACCAATATTAGAAACTTTTGACCCCTACTTGTATGTAAACACAGGGCTGTCAGTAAGGGCTACTAGTAACTTTCACATAAAAAATATAAAAATAGAGCCAAAAAACTTCCGAACTGTCTCCTTTCCTGCCTAAATAATCTTAGTGACAGCATTGATGTTAAAAAATATGTTTATAGTTATATGCAATCCCCTAAACATCTCAATGTTTTTTCAACGCCGGTAGCAACGACAGGAAAAACTGTGAAAGCTAGGATGGTTTTTTGCCACACAAAAAATATGAAGTACAGTGATTACCTGTACAGGATGTGACCTCAAATTAGATGGTACAGATGTTCTTCTTGAGTTACTGTTATCAGGAGAAGCTGCTGAAGATGCTGGGGGTGGCATTGACCTTCTGGAGTCACTTGGCACCTGTTGTGGAGAAGCTTGCACAGGTGTTGCAGCTTGTGCAGGAGCTGTGACTGGCACTGGAGCTCCAGCTGGTGCCTGCTGAAGTTCAGTAACCTTCAAGAACAAGTGAGTACAATGATAGTTTACCATGACCAATCATGGTATGGTTGAACCTCACCACGACAATCTTGGGGACAAAGGTATGGGGTTGTTCTGGGGAGAGGGCTAGGGAAAATTTCAACCCCTTTTTAAGTGATGTCACATGGAAGTTTAAAAGCAATATACATTTGAACCGCGCTTCACAGACACCCGCTTAAAGCTGACAGCTCGTTATTACTGACACTTTCTATGCACCCCCGCCTCCAGTAGCTGCACAAACAGGGTTTTACCGTAGATCTATTTTTACGTTTCACCATGCAGTCTATTCAATATCTGGTTCCACAAAGTTATTGCTAAATAAATGTGGAAGCAAAATTTTTAAGTTACCAATGACCTCATTTGGCAGCAAAATGCACCTTTATATGTGGCTGGAATATGACCATCTGGGTGGGTGAAATCCTGAATAGGACTGATAATGACAGTGATGGATGCTTCAACAACCTGCACAGTAGTCTTCTTCACATACTGCACAGGATGCTGAAACATCAGTCATTGTCAAGAACAGTCCTGCTCAGGACAACACCAAGGCAGATGATGATCTTTTTACTGGGCTGCCTGTGCGCCCAGTCATAAAATGGGCTTTCGGTCGTCTGCGGCAAAAAACGGCGTCCAGGGGGAGGGAAGACACGAGGGTCTGGTACGGAGAAATGATGTTCTCACAAATGGTTTCATATGAGTTTCTCTTGCACGGAGCCTTACACGGATACTTTTTGTACCTCGTCTCCGCTCCCCCTGAAAAACCCACAAGGTGTTGCGAACCTGAAGAAGGCTATTTGCGTTGTTCGAAGCGACTCGATCATGGGAGTCACTCTATAATTTTTTTATTGTTCGAGTTTAAGTTAGATGATGTTGGCGCTGGGAAACTCAGAGAAATGCTCACGTTGCATTCAAACCGACACGCTGTTCATAGTAGGTTTACACTAAAAGATGACTGTGAGCCTCAGGTTTGGAACGCCGTGGCCGCTTCGTGAACTCAAAGAGAGAATTATCGATCGATGTAGTACATGAGCAATTAAGAAGCACAATAATTGTCGTAAACTGGTGAAATACTTTGCTCATAAATTATTTATGAGCAAATTATTTCACCAGTTTACGACACTATGACTGAAGACTTGATTGTAAGCCTTCGTAGTCAGTGAAGCGAACAACTCAGTTGCCGATGAATGGCAGATGAATCCTGATGTTACGCACGTCCATTCGCGAGGGACGTGACAACTTTGCCATGTTAGAAGACTGGCTTTTCCTTTAAATATTTCCTTCTATTTAATGCAACACACGCCACTTTGGAGGTCTAAATTTCAGATACTGAGGATAAAGAAGACACGGACAAAAATAGGGACTCTCAGAATTTCGCACACAAGTTTAAAGCTTCACCGGGACATCCCATCCGGGAGCTTTACAGAGAGCGACTTGAGGAAAATAGGAGCTATTACTGACAAGGTTTGGTGACTGAGTAGAGCATACAAGTGTAGCCCACGTCAAGGTTTCGGGGGGTTTGCTTTTGTTTGTATCTGTATCTTGCTAAGCTTTTATCATTAAATTTGTACATGATCTTGTGATCACAATTCTGTGTTTTCGCCCATTCAGCAAGCACGCTATATTGATGTCAGCATTAGCGAGTTTCAGAAACATGCCTTTGAAAGTTTTCAGCTCTCGTGATGTTTCTTGATATTTCTTTTACCATTTTATGGAGATGTAAACTGAAGTCCCCGCAAAATGGAAACTTAAAAAAGTGTATAATCCATTTATCTCGAAAAGTAACACACATGACTTATACCACCTTTATTTTCGTAAAGGTATTTTGAATACAAACAAACACAGTCAATGTGAGGGGTAAAAACAGCATTAATATAAATGAACCATAGGGTTTTAACTAATATAAGGGTCAATTATTGTGCATTGAGATGAATCGCTTGAAAAGAGAGACTTCGCTTGAAGATGTGATCAGAAGTAAACAAAGGCATAATAGTGCGTCACGTTCAGTCTTTTTAATATTCAAGGAGTCACTGTGAATAGTGTTTCCATATTGTTTAGCTGGCACAAAAAATTCGGACGAGTTATAAAGCAGCATAGTTATCTTCCATGAAGAAAAGTTAGTCTTGGGTGAGACAAACAGAACTGGTAAAAAATATGTTATCGATCGTTTTATCTATTTACATTATTTGAAGTGCGAGCTGGTGAATGCAACATGCGAGCGAGAAATCTTTAAACTTTTTTAGGTCTCCAAATGAAAAGGATTTTACTCCTTTAAGTTAGAGAAAAATACCATGAGGAAAATCTTAAAACTGAATATTCTTCATCTTGTGGAAAAAATAGTGCGTTTTCTTGTAGATTGTAGACCGCAAATTAGGATCGCACTTTTCACAAACATGCGAATTCTGAAGTTCAGAAGCCAACCGACAATTGCGTTCTTCGCTGCTGTCAATCATCTTAACGGACCTCTTAGGAAACAAAACTTTACTTCACCGGTTCAAAAGGTCATGGTTTTCGATCCGTTTTGTGTGTTTCTCTGTTTCAAGGTTCGTTGCTTGTAATTGTAATTATGATTGACGGCAGCGATAAACACAATTGTGAAGGTGGCTTTTGAACTTTAGAGTTTGCATGTTTGTGAAAAGCGCAATGAAGTCTCCGTACAGTCAGTGAGGCCCCTGGATCAGGCGGGATCAGTGGGCAGTTAACTGTCTGTTTTAGTATACTTCTGGTTTTCATACAATACAATATTTCTGTCTAGTGTAAATCGGCTCAGTCTGTCGCATTTTATGCTCGTAGAATGACAACAATTTTTGGAATTTCCGGTCACGTTAAATTAGTCACGTTATACCGTCATGCTATATTTTGGGGCACAGAGGGATTGGGGGAAGGGGTGCATGGAAATAATGCAAGTTGTTTCCTGCTTAGAATTAATGGCTAACTTGTTTTATTCATAATGGTGGAATTTAAAAGTTATTATACAGCCCCCACTTAAAAATGGTACTCCTTTTTTTTGGTTACGAAAGTCTTTCAAAAGGGTACAATGTTCTGAACAGGGGATGAGTTAATGTTTCAGTCTCACATGAGATTCTGTCGCATCCAATGGTCGCCGACAAGGTTTTATGGTAGCCTGAGTGTATATAGCCGCCCCATCCCTTCAGAAAACATAGCCCCTTTGCAGCCCAGTTAAAAATCGCCTTTCGGCGATTCTTGTTTATTCATGTCATGACTCCCGCAAACAAACCTTTCACTGTAAAACACACCTTTTTTACATATGGTTCTGGAATAAGCCCTCTATTGCCTAGATCATCCATTGCAGTCCACCATTTCTCTTCATTTTGTTCCACAACAATTAATATATCATTTTTTTTAAAGCTGAGGTCCTCTTCATCCTGCGGAGGTAGATGCAAGAATGCCGTTAGAAAAACTGCTCACATCATAATAGAGCATGAAAAATGCTTAACACCAACAGCATAGGGAATGCAAGCTAATGTTAGGGTTTAACAAGTTGAATATTCAATAATATAATAAAGAAGTACTGTTGTAATTTTGAAATTCTACCTTTCCTGAGAATGGATACTGAGCTTGAACTTTAAATATCTGCAATAAAGGAAAGAATTAATGGAGAAATAAATTCTAAGAAACAGTAGCCCGAGTTATAGTAGTTTATACTTTTGTTCCTTTTAGCACAATGCCCTTGTGCGTCTTTCCTGCTTACTCCGCTGGGCTTTAAGAAAACATAATTGACAGTTTCGCTGCCTAAAGAAACTGTAGAAGGGTGGGGGTTTATCACAAGAGAATGGCTAGCATTTAAAATGCCAGGTTTAAAATTCTCCTTGCATACCGAAGGGTATGGACCTACAAGAGGTACTATTCTTGTTGATGGTAAAAATGAAATTCAGGTTAAATAGTTTCAGAGTAGGCTGATTCGCAACTTTTGTGATCACCTAGCCTTAGTCATTCTTGATCATGAATAAATAGGTAAATTGAGAATCAACCTACACTGTAAGTTGAAACCATTTTGACCTAAACATTATTTTACATTACAACACACACATACATAAATAATGATAGCAATAAATCAAGGACCCCAAACTAAAAAGAGATTAAGTTAGTTGTACAGCCAGGGCATTATATTATAAAAAGTGTTGTAAGTGTTATAACACTTTGCCACTTTGTCTCTTCCCTCTATTTCTATTTCCTTAGTACGTAATTATGTACTAGCTGTAACTTAAAGGGACTGTGACACACTTCAGCGCTTGTGCCGCAACTTGATTTCTCTCCGGCGAACAGTTTTTCAAGATTGGCGTTTGGTGAAGAAATCCTCTTTCATCGACCCTGAGACGCCCGAGAGAGCCATAATATCAGTATTCAAAAGCTATTTGGTCCATTTGGGAAGTTTTAAACGCCATATTTTGTACTTTTGTGCAAGTATTGTCGAGAAAATTTGAAGTCATTGAGGAGAACCGTACGAAGCCAAGTTCGTTGTTGTCAGTGTTCCTACAAACGGATCAAATGTAGCCTTTAATGTGGTCATCTGGCTTTCATTTCTGTCTATCAAGGTTCTCCAGTCAACTATCTACCTTTGACGGATATTTTTCAAACGATAAATATGTAAAGAGGAGTTAAAAAGGGTTTCCTCGATACAGCCGTGGACTACTAATGGGAATCAGCGGCGAGTGAAGCTGATCTGCGACATGACTTCCGATTGTCTGCAGCAATTTAATTTATCGAGTGCCTGAAATCAGAAGGAGAAAACTCAGCAATCTTTTGTTGTACTTGAAGTCGTGTGAGGTTTGAGGAGACAAACCATCGAACATGAAACGTTTTAACAGGCATTCGATTTATGACTCCGATCCGTAGTTGTACAGTAGAAAGTACTGACAACAGGCCGCGCGATCTTTACTGATGTAGTTCACTGGGAATGTTCCTTGTATCTTTTCTGTATGAGCATAGATGTTTAAGAATAATTTTATTTAAAAGATCAATTATTGATCTTTTAAAAATAAATTATTCCCTGAATGTTCCATTTAACATCTGGTTTCTTTATGTGTTGAATCATTTCTTTTGCGGAACACGCAACGCAACGACTCGGAAGGAATTTTTTTATTTGCTGATAAGCAGTTGAAATTTATGCCATAGTTATGGGCTTCTGTTTATTCCTTTTTTTCCGTTGTTCTTTTAGAATAATTTTATTATATGTGGCTACTATCGCAATTAGCTGGCTTTCAAACAATTTTATTTTCAGCCAGTATCAAAACTGAGCTTGCCTCATGGCATCATATACATTTTAAGCAAAACGTTTGCCTCATCATGTTTTGATCACCGGTCAGGAGCTATTTGCAGGTATTTCTAAGTTTATATAGGGTAAACAGAGAGATCAGTAAGGTTTGTTTACAAATTATTTTTGTTTGCGGATCGGAGACTGGTTTTCTAGCGTGCTTACTTAAAAATACACAAAGGTAAATGTTTGTTTCAAAGCAGGACAGGGTTGTTAATCTTATTCTTATCATCTGCAACATTTATCTGAGGAATACTAGAGAATAAATATGAATTATGGGGATATATATAAAATCCAACGCAAACGTCCGGAAGACTCCCACTTCGCGAACAATGAATCTTAAATCATGTAAATTTCCTCACGTGCAGCTTACTCGCTTCCGATTGGTTCAAACACAATCAGCTACTGTCACAGCTCACACATGCGCACAATCGTGACACAGTCCCTTTAAAACAGTGTGATTTGAATAAAATAGATGGTAAAAGAATGGACCCAAAGAGCAAAGAGTTTTTGCAGAGCTAAATACTTATGTAGCTACTGCCAAGAATGTTATCATGAAGCAAATACAGTGTTGTGATTGGCTAGCCAAGTGGGCAAGATGAGAATAATTACCCACTTTGGTTTGTAACTTCTCTTAGTCATATATATTCAATCCTTTAATTACAAAATATGAGGTCAAGATGGCTCAATATTGGCTCTGTTCTTTTTTATCATTCTTATTGACTGCTCAACTTCGCCTGAGTCCATAAAAGATGAGGAAGAACTTGGCAAATATTCTGCCATATTGACATTCTGCTTGTTCACCAGTGGAAAATTACTATCTTCTTCGGTCATTTGATTTCATCAGTCAGTGACTGTCCATTGACTGATCCTTTTAAAATGAAGTATACTGATGATAAAACCATGCCCCAAAGTTTGGTATTCCATAACTTTTAACTTCACTGTCTGAAGTTCATGTGTTATACGTGGCTTAAAAAGGCCCTCTGTACAATGATTGTCCATATAAAATTGGAATTCAGCAGTAAAATCACCACTAACATTAAAATATCTATTTAAAACATTGAGTTGCAGGTGATAACAATATTATGAATGTATATGTTTCATTCCATTTCCTCTCTTTAGTATGTATCCACGACTTTCATCAAGAATTCTAGTAGCAGGAGAAAGGTGTAACATTTACACAGGAGTATATTGTGAAAGAGGCTCCATGTCTGAATAAAAAATATTCATAGGCTATCACACATTAGCCGGAGAATTCTGTGTAACAAACGAAGAATTCTCTGATCTCCGATGCCTAATGAACACCCTGTGCATTACTTTTTGTTATTCTGTTTATTTCTTTCATAGTCAGCATAGTATGAACTACATGTAGAGAAAGGAGAAAAGTAAAAATACAAGGAAGCAAATAGTCTCTCTTACTGGTTGTATTAAGTTTGTGGAATCCAAAAAGTGGTTCTTGTAAAATTCTATGATGCCAGGAAGGTCCTGGAATGTATTATCTCCTATCTGATAATGACTTCCTTTGTTGTTGATGATGTAGTGGCTGACATTCCTCTCTTTGCCTTTCTCACTGAAAACAACAATGGAGAACTTGTTTAATTTTATTCCAGTCTCAATTTCTTAAGTAAGTAACTTGGCTCCCTGTTTGTCCACCAGTCTGTCTTTGTTTTTAAACATTTCTCAGCAGTCATCAAAAAGTCATTGTTAGTTTGTTAGTTGCCAGATATGAGCAATATAAAAAGTTTCAGAGGAGTCACTGATGTATGGGATACATAGGAGGTTAATAGTATGGTCAGTTGGTAAACTAAAACTAGGATGGCTTGATTTTGATTGTGTTTATCATTTGCACAAATCAGCTATATATATTCACAGAAAAATGGCAACAGAAGCCAAATAATTGGAACCAAAGATGGTTTTTTAGGAAAGGATTACAGGTTCCATTTGGAAAAGCCCAACCGGAAAAACAGGGCAAACTCTCCAGACATCCCACTGCCCTTGCAAAATTTTCCACTGGAACACCCTGAAAAGTCATGTTCAATTCACTTTCTGGATTTTGCAGACATTTTGTAAATGGTGAACCACCATACACTTGCTGTCATAACAGGACCAGGGTAAACATTGGTGGTGTTCAGTCCAGCATTCCTGTAAGTGCCTCATTTAACAAAGTCTGGCAAGCTGACATCATTTTTAATGTCCACTCTGTTTCATCTTGTAAGTTGTCAAGAGTGTTGCCAACCCTCATCTCAACTAAGTGGATATAGTTGTTGCCTTGTAACAAGTTGAGATGTAATATGACCGACTGGCTAGTTAAATGACTGCCAGTGTGAGTCCATTATCTGTTAATTTGATATTATTATTCATAAAAGCACATGCATAATTTAACCATTTGCCACGTAATCTTAGTACTGTAGCCTTAAGGAGAAAGCGCTTTTATTATTAGAACAAATAGATTGAAAATATTCCCTATTTTCTAATGGTTTTATTGTAAATTCGCGGCTATTTTCTTAAATTTCATGACGTAGTATCTTTGTTCCTTTGTTGATTGGTCTTAGTATTCAAAAAGTCCGTAATCCATGCAATGGATAATATCTATCTATCTATCTATCTATCTAGTGATGACCAAATTTGGTAGAATTTTCGGTTTAACGAGGAAATACGTCAAAAATGCAGCCCGCTACAGGTTAAGGCACCGGTACCAAGAAGACCTGGGGATGAGGTTGAGTTGTTTTGGTTGTGAAAAAAAAGGGCGGACATTTCACTCATTTCAAGAGTAAGAACTACAGCTGGAACTAGGCGAAATAATAGCTAAAAACATGGCAAAAACAGCAAAAAGACAACTCGCAGGGCGACATCTGCTATTTAGAGAATACTTGCGGAGCTGAACAAACCTAAATGTACACTATCCAGATGAACTTAACATCGATGCAGGTAAGCATGTTTTAGCTCTGTTTTTAAACTAGGAATGATTTTGAATGAATAATAAAACAAGTGCAAATTCGGCTTTCACAGGACATGAAGAATTAAGCAGATCTCGGAGGGTGTTATCCACCTCGGCCTTCGGCCCAAACTTTTCAACTAAAATAATAGCATTAAGACACCATATAAAAATAATTACATGTAATAAGGAAATTGATCCAGTAACTTTCTTTGAAAGGTATCATTTACATTTGACCGTTAGGCATGCACACAATTGGGGGAAAATCTGCTGTGAGCAAAAGTTAAATAGAAAATTAATATCAAAGACATGTACATACATTTATAACTAAAAAAATTGGTTTAAAAAGTGCCAATAAGTAACCACATGAATGACAACAGATTTTAAGAATTTCAAAAACACATATATTAATACAATTGTGTCATCTTATTGACTGATGTTCACTGTCACCAGTTACTTCCTCTTCCTAAAAAGTTATTTGCCTGGAAATTTATCTGTAACGTTTTGAGCACGTTCACTATTTTCGATCCCTTATTTTTAGAAAAAATATCAAACCTGGATATTTGCTGTACAGAAAATGTGTTTAGCGTAATCGATAACAAACTATAAAGTCGTGTTCATAAATAAACTTGCACTTTCAAACGTCTGTTTCCCTATGTGTACGTCATTGTCATTGGATGATAAATTTGTATACATCCACATGCTCAAGTTGTGGGGTTAACCTTCTGTTTGTATCTTTATAAACCACAGCACATTTTACGATAAACAAGAGAGTTTGCCGCCTTTTCTGCGTCTGTTTCTTCGCTAAATATGTCACAAACGCCAAGAAGTGCTGACAAGGGAAGGCCATTTGAAGTGCTGTCGTTCTAACAACTATGCCACAATTACGTTTTATCTGTAAAATTAATGACATCAGAGTAGATCGAATTCGCTTTAAAACGTACATAAAAAGATTAAAAAGCTGTGATCAATTACACTTTTAACCAAAACAGATCGAAATGTCGAAAATTATAATTTGGAAACTCGGAGTCATTAAGAAAATGAACATGAAATATGTGTGCTTAATGAGAAGCTTAATTTTGTTTTTAAAAGTGAATATGTTGTTTAGTTTCAGAGGAAAAAATCGCTTAGGTTGTGACTGGAAACGAACTTAGTATGTCTGCATCGAAAATACTGCGATCATACCTCACAGAAAGTACAAAATCACCAGGAATTGATCTGCTGTCTCGGATCAAGTAAGTGCCAGGTTTTCTTCCAAACAAGTATGCCTCTGATTTCTCTCGAGTTATACAGCCAAGATAACAACTGAAACGACAGCAGAATCGCACATTAGATTCTCTACAGCGAGAGTATGTTGAAAACAGTTTTCACTCTTTACCTTAGCTGACTTGGGTTAGAACGATTCATTCCGAAGTGTGAGCACAGCACAGTCGTTCAAAGTAAAACTCGAATTGCAAAGCTTCCACTTCAAGCAACATTCACGCTAAGACGTAACCCTCACAAGGGCGTTTTAAATGCATTTTCGTGAAGATCAAATGTTGCTGTAAGTTGTTACTTCGTCTGAAGCATTGGAACAGTATTAAAAATACAGCGATCAAGGAATCAAATCAACCAATGCTGCTGATCGAATCGAAATTACAAAATCCGGAAACTCCGTCCGTGAGCGAAAATGGGGAGGGCTTGCGTGGAAGGGAAGGGTTGTCCCTTACCAGTCCCCCGCGTGTCTTAACACGTGATCTCCAAGTTAACATGGCGGACGAAGTTGAAAGAAATCGCCTTGTGGTAGAATTTTCCGGAGTCACCGATGTTGATGCAGAAAGGGCTCAGTTTTACTTGGAGTCTGCTGGTTGGGACCTACACGTAAGTATTCTACTGTAATTTCTTGCTTTAATTTCGCGCTAACAGGACTGTTCTTCAATAATGGTTACTGTCTTTCACTTCCTTCTTTTATTTTAATAAGCTCATTCATCACTCACCTTGAATTCGAAGCTTTATGATTTTCAGTTTTATTTTGAATAATGGACAATTTTATTTATTCATTTTTTAATGAAGCTTGCCATCAGTAGTTTTTATGATACAATGGGAGAAGATGATGGTAACATAAGACATGAACCTCCCGAGGAAGTAGAACAGGTCAGATTCCTAAATTTCTTTAGATTAATTCAAAATATATTCCTAAGCTTATGTGAAAACTGTACCAAATATTGGCCTGTTGCTCGGCAATTTCAGGACATGAATGGATACTTTTGCTTTTGATTGTTTTATTCTTTTTTTTGTTCTTGTTATCTCTTTAGTCATTAATTTGGCTACATACAGACTGTATTAATTTCGTCTTTGCATAGCCTCCTGTGGGGGGGGGGGCATTATTTCTATTAACAGGTTAATGGGAATGTGCCACTGGATGGGGTCGCATTTTCACGACTGGATTGACTATAGGTGGTTTTCACGTTACGTCATCGCCGCCATGCTGGTGGACGGTAAACAAAAGATCGCTCATTAGCTCGCTTTGTTTGTCCACCAGCATTTGTTCATTTCACCATTGTTATTTGTGTCTCCCGAGATTGCATGAAAACCACCTATAATGGGGTTGCATTTTCAATAGAGTTATTAGGATGGGGACACATTTTTGGGATTTTGGGAGTCAGAAAATTCAGGTAGGTAGGGATTTACAAATGGGAAGGTATTAACTACATTAACCCTCACAAATTTGTCAATAATTCATTTCAGGATAACTTAGAAAAAAGGTAGATACATAAATGGAAAATGACTAAGTCAGAATCGTGAAAAGTAACTTTTTCAAAAAGTGACTAAGATGGGGTCTATAATTGGCCACAGAATAGACTGTAATGGGGTAGGGGTTCTGAGAGGCCAGCAGCACATACCCAGCCAAAATTAACCCAAGTAACCTCCTGGGTGCATAGCATATGAAACCTTCTGCCATTTTGTCAAACGCTGCACAGTAAAAAAAGCTGATTTGGTCATCATGATACCGATAATGCTCCTTGAGCTTTTTGGGACAGCTGGCTTGTTGCAAATAGCCAACTAAGTCAACTAACTAGTCACCTCCAGTCAACTGTGAGTGAGCAGTCTTTCAGTAATTGAAAGCAAAAACTAAGCAGCAAAAACAAAAAGGAGGGGTCTTGCTATGTTCGTTGTTTCACATCTCAGTTCTAGAAACATGCCTTGGTAAAACTGAGAAACAGAACCATTAAAAAAACAGATTGTAGGTAAAGAATAAAGATTGCTAGTTATACTCCCAGCCCCTTATGTTTTTCACTATAAACAGAAACCAGTCACAATATCAAGACGAGGTGTTCAAGGCAATATGGGGTAAGAAAAAAATTGATTGAACAAAAAATATGTATTATTATTAATAAAGGCTTGTTTATGGTGGAAGGTGCACTTAGCTTATCCAGCTAGTTTACTGGCACTCCACTCAAATACTTAGAAACAAGTAATTCAAGTACAACATAAATGGATTAAAAACACCAACTGGCAGGAGGCAACCAGTTGGCTATTTACAAGGGTGGCCAAGGATTTGAATTTGGGACTACCGATAACAAATCCAGTAAATGGCCAGAGCAAGACTCAAACCCAGGACTGCGAGATTGTGAGTGCGACACGCTGACCACTTGGCCACACTGCCTTCATTAATGATAATGATTAATGGTTAGGATAATAATAATTATTATTATTATAACTCTCGATACAACATTATTTTAATATGGTTCTTCTATTCTTATCTTTCCTCCTGCATGGGTTAAATGGTACTGTCAAAATAATACAGTGTAAGTGACATAGCAGGTTCCTCTTTTTAAGATGTCGTTTTCCCTGATTTTGGGTCTAAAGCAGTTATATCATTTACTGGGGATCTATGTTTAATTAGCAGTTTGGTATCAGCAATCTTGCATAAACAGTTTGCACTTCTCAGAGGTTCCTTCAGGGAAGCTTTGACAGTAGTTCCTTCCATACCAAGAAATAAAAACGGGATGCACATTTTGGGGACATAAAATGCATTTCACCACCCATGTAAGAACAGTACTAAAACCAACCTTACCCCACCCCCAATAGTGTGCAGAGTAACCCTGGCCTGAGCATAGGTTCAACTTCTGCTGCTGTCTTGAGATGTCTGGTGTTTGTTCCTCCCCAAGAGGAATAAGCGCAATTTCTCAAACAGTGCCTGATATGTAAGAGGGCCTCTTGCGGGGTTGAATATGTCCCTAGTCTGAATTTGAAAACCTGTTGTTTCGCATAATGAGGAGATCAAAGCCATGTCACTGTGGGTATTTTTCAATTGTATTTGCACTTTTCTCTGTTGCTGTTGCAGTTTTAACCCATATTTGTGTCATTTGTCGTCATTTCTGCTGTGTCACTGTTTCAAGGCCATGTTGCTTGTCAGAATTAAATTTTACCCTAACGAGGCCTTAGTTAAGCTGACCCTGAACATCCCTCCTACAATCCCTTTATTTCTCTTCCGGAAGCATTTATAAACAGTCCAACTATTTTCTTCCCACTGAACAAAAAATACTAGCATTTCAGTTTTAAAATCAAAATAACTGAGGAATTTAAGGAATTTTATCAAAGTTTTGATGAAACAAATTGTGTTGTTCCAAATTAATATTTTAGAGGAAACATTACATCGCTGTCAAGTATGCAGGCTGAAGAGAACAGTGACAATGAAGGGGAAGAGGGACAAGCATTTTACGCTGGTGGATCAGAGAGAAGGTATGTATATGTTACAGTTGTACTGGTCAAATTTGGTTTCAGGTTAACATTTTTAAGCTAGGTTGATTTTCAGTTTTTTTTTGTCTTCTGAGGCTAGGAAACAAATTAAAGGGAATGAAGAATAAAACTAAGTTAAATGAAAATTAACCTGAAGTCAAATTTGACCTGTAACATACACAGGCCTTGGTGGATTAACTTTGTTAATTGACTTATCTAATTTTGCAAAGTTGTGGGCTTTAACAACAATCTCCAGATGTCATGCTTCAGGACTCAAAAAGAGTGCTCTCTGCTAGTCTGAGAAAGTAGAATTTCCCGCCTGGCAAGTACCGTATTTCCTTGAATAATATTTCCTTGAATAATAGCCATCCCTCTAATAATCGCCCCCCCTCCCTTTGACAGAAATGTTGAAAATAATTCCATCCCTCAAATAATAATCTCCCAACTTAATGGTTAAAAAAAGTAAATTAAAACTTGCTTCGGGCAAGGAAAATTTTAGAGCTGTTTGTCCTAACCTGGGCAAGCTGAAATTCAAGTTTTTTTCAAGCCCTGGCGTTTGCTTTGTGTTGAAATTCCAATGTTACAATTTACTACTAAACATGCTGGTTTTCATTTTGGGTAGGTGCAGAAAGTAGTTTTTTTTCCCATTAAATGTTTCTTTCAATGTGGTGTTTTAATTTTGTGAAGGATCCTTCCTTATTATTTCTGTGAAAGATAAAACAAATTTATCACAGCAGTGGTATTGCTTGTCGAGCCTTTGTCTCCTGCTTTTTTAAGGTACTGTCAAATCATTAAATCAACACATGCTGCATCATGAGATGTAGAGATCGCGGCAATGCATGGGCAATGTTTAACTTACATGTATCAGTAAATTGCAAAGTAACACAATTCGCTTCTGTGTACTAACATGGTATTTTATTTGGTAGTGGTCAGCAAATTCTTGGTCCACCACGAAAGAAACAGACTTCAGATGACATAACACAAAGTATATTTGATGAAGCAAAAAGGTACAGTCTGCATACAAATTTTTAACTGACAGACATTTACGTTTCTGTGTGTTTGTCCCGCCTGCGAAAAAAAAAAGTGACTGTAGCTACTGCTAAATCTGTTATGCTCATTGCCATGGCTTCCTAATGTCAGACTCGTGTTGAAAGAAGTCACATCATTTTTGCCTCAAAAAGAGAGACATCTGATTGGCTCAAAATGTCAACAAAAAGATTAGGATATGTTAGCATTCAAGGCCATTGCCACTGCCGACACTCATTCAAAATTAATTAAGTGTCATTGAGGGTGTTAAAATGACTGTATCACAACTTAGAAATTATGTATTCCTTGATATTAGAGAGTTTTAAAATCATGTTCATGGCAAACAGAAAATGTCAGACTCAAGTTGACGGTTCTTCGAATTTTGAAATAAACAGATAAAAACTATGCAAAATAATTCTTATAAATGACCAGGCCAGAAACTACTTAATAGGTTTTGGGAGATATAACCATCTGGTAAAGGACAAGTAAAAGGAAAACTTTATTTTGTAGTACAAATTGACGTTTTCCGGCTGCTGTGAATATGATTCTGAATCTCTCTATTATTAAACACATAAAGGGCATAAAACTCTGACTATTCCCTTGTATATTGGTATGACTGGATGAACAAGCATTATTAATATATTTTATATTTCTTGATAGACATGGTGCTGAAGTTGTCGCTGATGAAGATGTTGCTGGACCATCAGAAAGACAACTCCCTGCTTTCAAGGGTGCAGGTAATATTTTTAAACACTACTGACACATAGGTGGACAGAGAGCAAGAAATAGAAAGTCTCCAGTTTTTAGATCTCTGGGAGTTGGCATCTCTGCTGTTTTATAATTTCCCATTTGTATTTAACCACCTGTAAGCAACCACTTCACATAATTTATGGTCTGACTCTTTGTTCATGGTATGTGCTACATATCTCAGAGTATAAGAAAAACTTTAAAAGAACACGTAGCACTGCTGGTATTGAGAAATTGTGCATGTATGCAACAAATTATATTTGAATGAAAAGGTTTGTCAGAAACTCTTGTTTCCAGGAAAGACCCCCTGTGGTTCGACTCTGGTAAGTCATCGAACCTTGTAAGAAACCTCTAACTCTTGGCATTTTGAGTGGTTGCTTGCTGGAGGTTAAACTGTGGTTATATTGAAGGAAATTTAACTCTGCCAATAATAGCTTTTCAAATTAGCTTAAATTTTGGATGATTAGATTATTGTTTTGTGGAAGGCTTCATAACATGTGATTTCTCATAGGGGGGGAAGGGGGGTATTCCTGGGAATTTGTGGTGTGTTGCCCAGTTCTCCAAATCCTGACCCTGTTTCAGAGCAAAAAATTGTCATTTTTCAGACCCAATTTGAGACCTGGCATAAGTAGAAATAATGTTATCATTACTTAGATTAGAACACCAACAAAAAGATTTCTTAAAATCCACCTTAAATTTGCATATTACTCTTTCTTTCTTATTTGGAATTGAAATGACGAATACGTTCATGCATTCCCTCAAAAACCATACAGAGCAAAACGGCACAAAAACCATACCCTTTGGGGCAGCATTTACCTATAAAGGCATATGTAAGGGAGTATCCCCCCCCCCCCTGCCCCGGTGTTTTTCCTTTTTTCAATACTTTTTCATCTTCAAATGTACAGGATATCGTCTTGGTGATACAGAAGGAGGTGGATCACAGCCTATGCCCGAAACAGTTTCAAGCAGAAATAGTGGTATTCAGCAAGAAAATGTAAGAGCCAATATATTATTATTATTTTTAGTAGAATTTTGAAAAATAATACTTAAAAGGGTTTCATTGACAGACTCGAAGTTTTAACCACTTTGTTTGGTGTAAAAAAAAAAGTACACAGAAAAAACTGTTTAATAGTTGTTTTTTATTAGAATGTTGATTCCTTAGGATTTCATCCAGTAACTCCAAAGCTATAACTACCTTGTCCAGCTTAGTGAACAGTAACAAAGAAAATTACTGCTCATTAGCTAGCTTTCATTTGAATGGTAACACATTAGGATTTCTGTGAAAGGTTTGAACCCAGGAGTCATTTCAAAAGTAGGTTGAGTTTGATCGTCTGGGTGAACGTAGTCCTGAATAGGACTGTTGTTGTTGACAGTGACTGACGTTTCGACAACCTGTGCGGTAGTCATCTTCAGAGTCAAAGTTTCATCCACTAACTCTAAAGTTGGAACTACCTTATACAGCATAGCAATTACACAGTAAAAATGGAAAGTTTTTATTCATTTTGGAGACATCATTATTTTTATATCTTCCATATACTTCAAATGTTAATCCTATTTTACGATAAATAAATATCTTAGCAAGACCTAAGCTCTAAAATAAAATAATTTTCTTTATATTGTTTTATCTTTTCAGAAAGAAGTTCAGTTAAAGTTTTGGTCAAATGGTTTCTCTGTAGATGATGGTCCACTGAGATCATTTGATGATCCTGCAAATGAACCTTTCCTGAGTTCTGTCAGACGAGGGTAAGTAAGCTCCACAGAGTCAAAAGCCATTTGTCTATTAGTCTTTTATTTATTTATTTATTTATTTATTTATGTATTTAAAAAATTAATATTATATAAGGTGACAATGTGTAGGTAGAAATAACAGAATTACAAATGGAATAGTGACGAATAGAAAAAAAATAATAATAATAACATGTTTAAACAGGATGACCATTTCAGTTATAAAAACTGCTATCAATATGAGTCCTGTATAAAAATAAATGAATAAATAGATGAAAAAAAAGCTTTTGATCCAGCAAGCTGGCCAATGGCTGACTAGTGTGGCACTTGATACACACACTGTTATAGGTCAGGGGGGTGTCGACATCATTAATCATAAACAGACTAAGCCCTGGGCCAAACCTCAAACTTTTCATGAGATGAACCAAACTTAAAGTTAAGTTCATGAAAAGTTCGACGTCTGGCTCAGTTAAGTTCGCCTGAATGAGTTTGGATTGTCCAACACGTTCTATCAGGTCTGAAGGTTTTCTCCGGGACAAACTTCGATCTTCACATGCGACGAACTAAACTAAGAAAATACAAATTTGTGTGATAATCTATATTTAGCCTTGTTCGGGAGAAAGTGTATTAAGATTGCGTTCGAGTCTGATTCAGATGATTGGTTGACCCAAGAGACGAACTTAACTTAATTTAGGTCCATCCAAATTAGAGTTTGGTTCGTCTCATGAAAAGCTCGACGTTTGTCCTAGGCCTTAGTGAGATACAAGAAGTAATTAAAGGTTCTTTCTTGAAGTGGCCCACTGAACAGTCAATAGGAAGATTAAGCAACTAAGACGGCGACGGAAGCGAAAACGTGACGTAAAAAATGAGTTCGCCCTGTTTCAATCGTCATCGCTCTTTTTCCACCTCCCTCAATTTGTCAAATGTTGGCGAATTTTTCTGGAGTTGAATTCTAAAAGAATGTATCCGAGTTCAGAAAAAGAGAAAATCGTTCTCTTATGTCCACGTTCTCCACAAAACGTGAAATTAGCAAGTTTCACGTCGCAGTCGTGCAACGAGGGCAAAGAAAGGTACGAACACGCGTGCTGCACGTGCAGAGTTGTTTTGCTTATCTGAACCTAATATTTTTTGGCTGTTCTCGTCGCCGTTGCCGACGTCGTTGCTTAAGCTCCCTATATTCATTGACTCCGGAGATGGCCGGGATGGTAAAGTGTTTTAGGTTCTTGGGGTTCTGCATTTAAAACTGTTCTGAAAGGTCTTGCATCACTTTTTAGGGAAATTCCACAAGAGTTATTAGCTTTGTCACGGAGAGGAGAGGTTCACGTAAATATGGAGGACCACAGACATGAAGAGTACGTTCCACCGCCCAAACCTAAGGTTCAAGCTTTCTCTGGTGCCGGGCATAAACTAGGAAGGTATGCCACGTCTTTTAGTTTCTTCTGAAAACTAAAATAGCATTAAGTAACTTTAGGTCCCAGATGAATACAGTACTTTTCATAATCCGAACTTACCGTATTTATTCGATTAACCGCCACGGGCGCTTGTTAAATTTTTGGACCTTGAGGGTGGGCGCTTATTCGAGGCTGGGCGCTTATTAAATTTTCACCATTTTCAGCAAGTGAAGTATGTTTATTTTGTAACAAAACAATAAATGCTGATAGCAAAACGCGAAGAAGTAACAAAGCAAGGTTTCTGTTTAAAATACTCTGAAGAAAACTCCGTCCTCGGGGAAGTCTCTTATTAGAATTTATTCGCTCAAGTGGGTGGGGTGGGGGTGAGCGCTTATTTGAGTTTGATTGGGAGGAGGAGGGGGTGGGGGCTTATTAACTTTTTCTGCCTTTAGGATGGGCGCTTATTCGAGGCGGGCGCTAATTCGAGGTTGGGTGCTTATTCGAATAAATACGGTAATACTCAGTTTGGGTTGATCAAAAAAAGCCCGGAATTTAGTCCAACCGAAGCGAGGTTTAGCTGTTTTCCACGGCTATACCAACCGTGAAGATCGCCTTTGAACGTTAGCCGAACATAAGCCTAACGGGAGCCGGACGCGCATGAAAAGGTCATCCTCTCTTGGCCGAACTCAAATGCACTCACTCATCTTCTTCATCCCGGCTGGGACATAAGGCCGCAATCAAACTTCGCCACTCAAGCTTGTCCAAACTCGGCAGCTCTTTTATCACTGTTCTCCGCCAAGTGTTTTTTGGCCGGCCTCGTTTCCCCTTTCCAATTTGGGTCCCTGTCAAGGCAACTTTGGGTATTCTGTGACTGGGTATTCTTTAGGCATAACCAAGCCATCGCAACCTGCGGTTCTTAATTTCGAGAGACATATTCATACTGTCCTTCCTCTTATACAGTGCCTCGTTAATATTCTTGTTAGGCCGAATAAGTGGAATAACCAGTTGTCGCTTCCAGAATGAAAAAAAAATGGAATTTGAAAATGCCGTTTTTCAGCGGAGAGGGAAATACGTTTAGTGTTTCGATTTAATTACTTTCCATTGAAATTGTCCATCTTAACTTTTTCAGAGTTTATTCTGACCAAATTCTCAGCAATTTAGGAAGCAAGTGCCAAGTGCAAACGTTACATTGCTTGTTTTACGCCCCGCACGATCCACAAACCCCTCTATTCTCAACTTTGTTAGACGTCATTTTAAGGTACCAAAAACAGATATCACTCCTACAATAAGACCAGTTTGTATGGCAGATCAGCTCTCTTCCCTCATCTTCTCTTGCTCGTTTTTTCGTTTTCAAGCCATTTTACGTGAAAAGTATGTTAAGGTGGAACTGGTGGGTAGACTGCTTGTAGTCCGCCTTTTCTGTTAAAATCCGTCCAATTCTTATCACAGCCAGCGCGAATGCATATAACGACGCCACAATAAGGGATTAGGACGAGACGGGAAAAGAAGGACTATGACATAATAACCTTGATAGCTTCGTTGTCCCCAGACAGCACAAAAGAGCCAGGAGTCTCTTATTGTTTCTTTTCGGGTTTACGCCCTCGTTTATCGCGGCTCGCGCGTTATTCGTGGAGTAGCTTTGCAAATCGGAAAAATAAGAGCCTGCTCGCAGTCTATAAAGACATTGACGTCAGACAAGCAGCAAGGATGGGCTAGAAGGACAATTTTTCTTTGTGTTATTCTTCAGCCCAGCTCCAGAGGTGAAGTTCAATCATTCAAAAGAACAAGATACGAGTGCCAACATACGAACAACCGCAGCCCCGACGCCTATTGACGAGTCACAGCCTGTCACCAGTATACAGATAAGACTGGCGGATGGAACACGGTATGTATCGGCCATTTCGAAATTGTCTTTTAGATCGGGTCGGTATTGTGTCTAAAGCGCTATGGGATTGTTTTAGGAGACGAAATAGACCTTTTTACCGATACGGCGGCCATATTGAATTAATTCGATTTAAGGAGTATTATAGGATGCCCAGGGGGCATGAGCACATTTCGTTTGTATTTTCGAGCACTTTTCGGGACATGTTTTTTAAAGTTTTCTTACAATAAGATTCTAATGGGAAAAAAGATCCTTGTGCCTCATTATTACATCCAAACACGGCACAAGGATCTTTTTTGCCATTAGAATCTCATTCTAAGAAAACTTTAAGAAAAAATGTCCCGAAAAGCGCTCGAAAATACAAACGAAATGTGCTCATGCCCCCTGGGCATCCTATAATACTCCTTAAATCGAATTAATTCAATATGGCCGCCGTGTCTGTAAAAAGGTCTATTGTGGCCCATTTTCCTGCGCAACCGTGTAATAGGCGTAGGGAGCTTTAGCAACGACGACGGCGACGGCGACGGCAACGAGAACAGCAAAAAAGCCGAATAGGTTTAGATTAGTAAAACAACACCTTTGCATGTGCGTCACGCTTTTTTGTACATTTCTTTGCCGTCTCTTCCAACTACGGCGTAAAAATGCCCAGTTTCACGTTTAATGGAGGACGTAAATAAGCGACGACGAATTTTTCTTTCTCTTTTTAAACTTGATTGCGTTCCCCAAGAAGTCAACTCAAGGGAAATTCGCCTGCATTTGACATTTTTAAAAGTGAATTGGAATAAACGCGTCAAAATTTGAAAAACCATGAATTCTTTAAAAGTGACGTTTTCGTTGGCGTCGCCGTCGTCGACGCTAAAGCTCCCTAATAAAAGAAGCTGTACTGCCCCCCAAAAAGTCTCACAGTGCAATCCTACGTACTAATGACGCCTTCTCACGCTTAAACTCAAACTGTTTTAGCCGCTTTGAAAACATCACGCATTATTTTTAAGGGGCTATGTCACTGTCAACTCATGATTTCAGTTTTTTGGGTTTTGTGGGGGAGGGGGGGGGGGGGGGGTAATACCTCCAGTCCACAAAATCTGAAAGGTCCCAATTGTTACTTTTTGATTGGTAAGCTGAGTGAAAAAAAAGAAAACATTGCCAAAATCAAGATGAGTCTTCAAAGATAATGGCGTAGCAAGTGCGATAAAAGAGAACGCGAAATATCCTATGACGCATTCTTCCTCTTTCTCTGCTCGGTACGAGAATCGTGCGCTTAAAACCTGAATGTTTTTGTACAAAAAAAAAAGAGATACTGTTCCGGCGTAGTTTATGTCGAGACAAATGTATTGTATCTTTTTTTCTTTTGCAGCCTGGTTTCAAAATTCAACCACACAAATACAGTGGGAGATATTCGACGATTTATTTGTGCGTATCCTTTTATAAAAGTTTACTGTATTTAGTTCAGTGATGAACGTTAGTTTAGGCATTTACGAGTTGGTTTCAAGAATCAAGAATGTTGCGTCCTTTTGCCCGGGGCTTTCTTCACAAATTGTTTGTCGTGTGACGAAACGGTTTTTCCTTCGATAACTTCTGTTCCCGCCCAATGTAAGAACGAGCATTTTAAATTTTATTTCATCTGCCACGCTAGGTTCATCTCCATCGTCAAACAAAAATCAGTATATACTTACAGTCAAACCCCGTTAATACAGACACTCAGGGGACCATAGAGAGTACCGTAAAAGTCCGAAAGTAAGTCCTGGGGCTTATATTTTCTAAAGGCCCTTTTTGAGGGGCTTATTTTTTGAGGAGCTTATATTCGGAGGGGCTCATCTACGGAGGGACTTGAAATTTGCGTTTCAAAATCGATAGGGCTAGCCTTATAGTTGGAAGGAAATGTACCGTTTTTGCTTTGTTTTAATTTGTATTTGAGGGCAATTTCCAAGTACAAGCCCCCTCGGAGGACATATATTTGGAGGGGCAATTTAACGGAGGGCTTTTTGCGTTACGAGTTAGGGGGGCTTATATTTGGAGGGGCTTATTTTCGGAATTTTACGGTATCTGTATTAACGGGGTGTTGCACTCCGTATTAAGCAGCTTGAATTTAAAGAAAATGTAAGGGCTTTCTTTGCCCAGGGACAAAGCAAACTGTCCGTAATAATGAGGTGTCCGTATTAAGCATAGACTACGAGTAGTCCCTTATTTTTCCTCAGGGATAGTAGAGCCTGCGAAACGCGAGCGCGCGTGAAAATCACCCCACGCGCCTTTTCTGGCGTGGGGTGATTTTCACGCGCGCTCGCGTTTCGCTCGCTCTACTATCCCTGAGGAAAAATGGGGGACTACTCGTAGTCTATATCAAGCAGGTGTCTGTAAAGCGGAGTTTGACTGTATATATTTGTTTGTTTATTTTTTCAATTTATTTAATTCCATCATAATTTGTTACGTGAGATTGGATGTCCCTTCATAATGAATAAAAGTGTCGACTGCAACCTCAATTGTGGATATACGAAAAATTAAAATGTTTTGTTTTTGCATATCTTCCTTAACTAAAACCGTAAAAATACAGTTCAAGACCACAAATGGCTACCAGAAACTTCGTTCTCATGACGACGTTTCCTAATAAAGAGTTAACAGATGATGGACAGAAACTAAAAGAAGCAAATCTTTTAAATGCGGTAATTGTCCAGCGCTTCAAGTGAGTAAGAACTGAGGACTAGTTCAGGTAGTTGTGGCGTTAGAAGTACGGGAATGAGTTAAACGCACGTGAAAGGCACGTGTTCGGTCGGCGCTTGACTGAATATCTTGCTGCATTGGAAAATCTAGGGGCCTTCAACTCTCTGACTGCTTTCAAGGGCTTTACAACACTATTGACTTTATATCGCCCACTAGGTTAAAGAGATATGATGCTTTTTGTGTAAAATCTTTTCAAAATAGTTTATCCTGTAAAAATAAAATGTTCGGGCAAACGCGAGCGTTGTGTGCGAAGTATGTGTTTATTCATTTTGTCCGCTGCATTGAAACAAACTGATGCTGGAAAAGAAAGAAGCAATTAATTTTTGTAGTAGTTTTAACTGAAAACTAAGTACACGTGTAATTCACCATCATAGCGTGTTGTTTTCGGACTCAAAACAATAGCTGCACTTGTAAATCACACTTGTGCAAGTTTTATGTAACTGACTCTAGGTTTACGGAATTTAAAAGTTCTTTTTCTGCCTGTTGATTTGGGCAAACGCTGTGTTCGTGTTTCAAGTACGTACTTGTGCGTTATAAACGTTTGTTTTGCCGTGTATTATTAGCGTGTTTTACGGGCTCAGACTGCAAGAAACTTTCTGATAATACCAGTGATGGGGGACAGGTATTAAAGTAAGGCTTGTACTGGTATTCGTTTAAAAAATGCTTAACGTATCCAGACAAAGTTACTTAACTCTACCTTAGCGCTGGGCAGCAGAAATCCGAGCAACGCATGAGGCTAAAAAATCTTTCCTACGAGTTACCCTTCAAAAGGAAATTAAAGAGAGCAAAAAAATAATCTGGCACTTGTCAATTTAATCATTTTTTATATGCAAATACATTTTGTTCCGCTATAGCAGCAGTTATATGTTCCGCTTGTGTTAAAGCTCGTGTTGATCGCTTTGCGAGGGTGCTGTGCGTTCAGCTTCCCGTTCGATCTCTGTTTATTTCTAAGCTTAACTGCTTTGTTTAAGGGCGTTTTATAGTCATGTTTTCTCTTTCGTGTCATTGTTCTGGAATCAATCCAGTAAATTTGCGATTTAAATGCTACAGGACGCATCAGCTTAAACTTCCTTTTGGAAAGAAAAGGGCGGGCTTTTCTTTGTGGACAGAATTTTCAATTAGATACCCGCTTGAACTGGGAAAAAAATGAAAAGCTTGCGAACCGTATGTACTTTATCTTGTTATAAATTGTCAATTGCATCAACTAACCGTTTACAACTCTCAGTGACTGGCGGAAAAAGTTAGCTGTCGATTGGAACGTGCTTTCGCTTATTGCGTCCTTCCACCGAATCCAAACGTCTCTCATGTCAAACTCGTACACGAAGCTTTTCTTGTTTTCTAAAAAGGAAGTTTAAATTGCTCGACGCGGTTTAGTCAGATATTTACAAACTCTTTTTGCTATTTTGAAGCCTCCCTGATCGTGAACAAAATATTCGACTTGCTGGCGGGCTGTGCTCACTTTAACTTTATAGACTTTTCGGTAATATATTTAAATTCGAGCTCGCTCTCTTGCATTGACCCAAAAATTAAACTTTGAAATGCGACAAAAGACTGCGGTCACTGACGGCGAAAGGCTTAGCCATGAAAATTTGTTCCTGTCAAATTTGCACTGAAGCGCAAGCTTGATAGTAAACTTTGTCGTGGATTCTCCATTTCGTCAGTCACTGGTCTTGATTTATCTTGATTTTTCGCTTTCTATAGTGCTTCGACCTGCAAAGAAAACAGTGATTTCAGGAGAGAGAGCAGATTTAAAATCCTTCTTATGTCACTTTTTAATAGCGCAGAATTGTTTACTCTTTCTACGAGCTAATGTGCAATAAATGAGAGCATTAATATTTTGTACTCTCTAAATTTTCCCAGGGTGCTAGCTAACAGCTAATTCTATTAGTATTCTTCTGTTCTCATTGGTAAACTTGACAGTACTATAGAACCTCTCACGTGAGAAGAAAGAAAAAAAAATAGCGGCAAAACTACGAGCGTGTGGAAGAGATTTGAAACAACGCTTAATTTTCTCGAGGAGTGATATGTAAATTGTCGATTTTATTTTAATAAGCTGAAAGGTTATAATATAATATTGGAATATTTATTTCCATGTTGAGGGTCAAAATACGTCCTTGGCCAAAACTGGTTACTTAGTGACGGAGAAAGATAGTGCAAAAAGTTCCCCGAATTGCGAATAAAAATGTTAAAAATTTTCAGAGCGGGGTTTGTAAGCTAGTTTTCAAGCCCGGACCTTTTCTGGAGTATTTAAGGGGAGATTTATTTAAAACGCGAGGGAACTTATTTTGCACCAAAAGCCAGGTGCAGCTAGCCTCAAAGGGACATATGTTGTTTTTAAAAGTGCAGCTGCATTTTCCAACCAAACTACCGGATGAAAAAAACGATTCACCCTTCATTTCTTCCCGAAATTTCACTTTCTTACTCTCGAACCCGCGCTTGAGAATAGTTCTAAGCGAGCGCCAATCACTGTACTTTAAGCATCTCAGACAGCAAAAAGAAATACACAGATTTCTGCAGACTTACTTGAAAATTTTCGCCGCGCTGGAAGTGTGTGTCTCTGTGTTTTAATCATATATGAAGCGAAACGTTTCCTTTTTTGCCTGAGTATTTTCGGCCTTCTTTCGCCCTCTGTCTGCTCAACTGCCACGCTATTGTTGTTGCCTAAGAGGGAAAAAATAGCCAGGTTAAAATGTGCGCTCAGTCCTCTCCGGTCAAGTTCCGGAACGCTTTCGACAAACTTACTTTCACTGGGTTCCTCGAAACGCGAACTGAGCGTAGCTTGAAGATAGGCAATGTATTTTATCGCTTCTTCGATGACCTCGATCTGAAAGACAGAAGAAAACATCGATTTGCCTTTTGGAATTTTTTTGAGACTTTTGTACATCCCGATTTCGTGGTGTATTTTAGAATTTCATACCTTGGAAACACGAGGGCGAGAGGCTGTAGCTGGAACAAGGGATCGTAGTCTGGAAAACTCCAGTGATTTCATCTGCTTGTTGTAGCTCCGTACACATTTCCTTATTTCTGTAGTTCTTGAGTCTTGGAGCTGTTTCTCGCCGCTGTTGCCACTGCCAAACATTTTTCCAAATCTGCAGGACTATAGGGTAAGAAATGAGCGTACGTGAATAAGTTTTACCGGCGAACCAAGAATTTGAAAGCAACTTTTAAAGCCCACGCTTAAAGAATAAACCACTTAATTTTACAATGGTACAAGTCAATCGTATAGTTACCGCACGTTCAGATCGTAGAATTTTAAACGTCTTGCTGTAGTTTATGGCGCTACCGTTCTTGCAGTAACAAGCGAATGAGTGAAAAGCCTCCTATTCTGGCGCTAACTATAAATTGCCAACATTACAATAGCACAATTCACCTGTAACGGCCTGTAAGACAATGAATTATAAACACAACTGTTTTAAGCCAATCACACGGCGAGTTTGCCCGGTTAACAATTAAATGTTCCTTTGTGCCGACCAATCGGAATCGAGGACATTTGCCTACAGAACTGCTGGTACGGCAGTTAATGAAGTTTACTGTATTTTTTCATTTCTTGGTCCTTTTTTCTTCTTTTTCTCCTTGAAAATTTCTCATGCTGTCTAGGCACGCTTAGCGTCTGTTTTTCACGGCAATGTGTTGCGTTACCTCAGAAAGTCGAAAGCTATTGTGTTGGTTTGTATTAAGATAAGATCGCTCAGGAGAATTGAAAGAGAAATGTGGACGTCAAGTTCGGATTCCATTCAACAGTGCAGCGTTACCTAGAGTCAAAACCACACTAAGAAGTTTTATCTTATTATATTCGACACATTGACAAGAAACCTCTCTCGTTTCCATAGCTTTTTTGCTCTCAAGACAAGAGCAAGAAACATTATCAAAGAAGTGAATAACCTGGGCAAATTGCTTGCTAAAATTAAACTTTCATAAGGTTCCTTTCAGCCCGTGGTCGATTTGCTAGTATATCTACATACTTGTCATTACAGCTGCTTTTTTCTGTTATTTTGAATCGCGTATTGCGTGGTGGAAATTAAAGTACAACAAAGCCAGCTTGAAATCTGGTAAGCGATTTTGGCTGCCTCGCTTTTTTCTGCGAATTTTACGCGACTTTTTTCTCATTTGTTACTACAAAATTGGCGCGTTTCGTTGAAATAGCACTCAGTTATTTTGATACAGTTTTCGCGTAGACACGTGGTTGCTTACTATCCAGCTGCAGCGATGCAAATTCTTTACGGACAGAGCATCAAATAAACCAGTCTTCTCGTATGTTCTGGTGGTCGCATTGCTTACAACGAAACAAAAAAAGAGTTTTTCAGTGTTTTTTAGCGCAGTTTTTTTTACCATATTAACAAAATCATAGCGATCTTTTTTTGTTGCTCCCTCTAAAACCTAATCATAGCAATAACTCTTCTTAAATCTAATTTCCTAGGCCATTTTCCTCTTGGCCCTTCATTTTCTTTCCTTCTTCGATATAATACAATTAAATGTCGTTTTCTAGTTGAGTGTCATTGCTACAGTTTGCCTTTTCGCCGCAATAATGACGTTTTCATTTCTCTCTAAAGAGAAAACACTTCATATTTATAGTAACCCTTTTCATTCACACAGTAGGTCTTAGAGGCGGCTTCTATTATATCTTTAAACGCCGTGGCTGGTTTTGAGAGTTTTCAATTTTATCCTCGAACGTTTCTGATCTTTCTGAACACGCGATGTGTGCGTGGAATTTCTCGTGGCGGTTTAATTGTGTTGGCTTTCATGATGATGTAATATATATAGGGTGTCAGAGCTACGCTCTAACAGAAAAAAATATGCGGATTATAACGACAGCCAATGAGAATAGAAATTATGACTTTGTTTATGAAAAGAACAGCGGGAACGTTGTATCAAACAAGTGTTCTGCAAAGTAGCTTTATTGCTAGTGGACTTACGTTTCTTCATCTCCTCTCGATTACGGTCTTATACTGCTGATATTTTTAGGCAGATTTATTTGTATCGTGTGTTCCAAAAGTAGAAGAAGGACAAGTTGTCAAATTACAGTTTATTTAAATTTTTGTAAAGTGCCGGTAAATGGTTGATTGAAATGTTTTCTACATGGGAATATAGAGTTAAATCACTTACAACGTTAAAATGAAAAATATTTATGATTCGTCGAACTTTCTCTCTGGGCAAAGCTCTGTGTGGCTTTCATTCACTCAGAATTGGTTTCTTTTTAAAATTCAAATTTGACAGGCTATGTAAATTGTCTAAAGTGCTTTTACTTTCGGGAGACCCAAAAGCGAAAATGCCATTTATGGTTGGTAAATAAGCAGAATT